ACGCGCTTTGTTGATATCAATCAGAATTCTGTTTGAATTAACAAATCGTCTTTATTGATGCAAGTAGAAATCTGCTTTATCTATTTGCCGGGGAAAAAAATTTGATGTGATTCTAATTTTACTTATATCAATTAGTATTTAGACTAATTCAAGTGAAATCATTCTGACCAGAAAACATCAAATTTTAAACGATATATCAATGAATGTCTTCTATATACTGATTATATTGGCCTGAAATATAATCATATTGAAAATTTGCAAAATGGCATTTCTAACAGTGTACTCGTCAAAAATATGTTGGCAAGACGACATTTAAATTTATCTTTGACATACTGAAATAGGTTCAACCCGAAGAAAGGTTAGAGTATAGAATGCCGATAGGCCCTTATTGCAAAGACGACGGATTAATTCCCTTGGTTCAACCCGTAAACACTATGCAACCAGGCTAAAGGGAATAGGGATCGTGTTGCAGTGCAGTCATGTTTTTATAGTTATGAGACATTATTTAAAGCAAGATTTATTTATTACAGATAAAACCTTTTACCAAGGATAAAACAAAGCTATGGGACTGTAGAAGTAATTTCGATTCACAACAGTACCTATGAACGCGTTGTTTGTTCATCAATGCATAAGATATCCATTCTCGTCTCTTGGAAAATTGATATTTTTCTTTTGTATAGCTTCTCTCTAAAGTACCTTGCCCCTTTTTACATTAGATACAAGGGAGCAAATTGTCAGAATTAATTACATTTTAGGCTTGAATAACGACGATATCTCCTACATTGTTGATTACAACATGGTTTAAAATGTACCGTTGTAAATTGGACATGCTTCTTTTTAAATGTAAGAACAATTGAAATTCCAACGACAGTCCCTTTTTAAACAGATAAAAAGATGAGTAATATTAGTATTGATAAAAGCTCTTTCGTAGTACAATGATAAAAAATGTCAGACAAACATATAAAAAATAGTAAGATGATTGTTTACTGTTATATAACCAGTATGAATTTTACATATATCATTACACTTATATGCATATTTTACAGAGCACATATTTTTATATGAAAAGATTTTTTAGATATTTAAAAAATAAAAATAATTTGTGTATTTTTTGTCTTTTTTTTTAATGCCTCCTTCTCCTTCTTCCTTTTCTTCCCTCTTCTCCTGCTTATGTCCAGACAGTCCACTCCTTCCTAGTTGGTTGTTGACCCCCTTCTGAAGCCTGCCAGGACCCTGAAGCCTGGATAACCCCTGCCTGGCGGGCTCCTGATGGACGCTTCGCGCCAGCGGCAGGTCCCCGGCTATGAGGAGAGCTTCGCCCCTTGTTCTAAACAAAGTATTTTTAGATTTTTTACAATAAAGTTGTGAAATTAATTTCTTTGTGAAAAAATATTTTCTGTTAAATAAATATCTATAAAAAGTAAAGAAAAGAATTATAACTATAAAAATCCGCAACAAATAATCAGTACAATCTTCTATAAAAACAAATTTGTTATTAAAATGTTATTCATTTGTAATTCATTTGGATTTGAATGCAGTATCGTTTAGATGTTTTATTACAAGAAAGAAGGTTTCGCAGATTTTTTCCCGTGAAATTTCTTTTAATTTATATATAAATTTGGCTTGTCTGTCTGTTTGTTTTTATGTTTGTTTGTTTGTTTGTATCCAATAAACGTCAAAACGGCTGAACCGATCGGGCCCACTTTTTTTGTGGGACATCTAGGGACCCCAGGGAAGGTTTATGAAAAATCAAAATTTTAAATATTTGTCTCTATCAAAATTCGATCGTCATTAAATTTTTAAAAATTTTGAAAATCCACGAAATTTTTTGTAAAAATCCGCGAATTATTTTTGTTTTGTTTTACGATGTACACAAAGAGAACATGTTCACAACTAATTTAGAAGATGGGCGCGAAGCGCCCTCTAAGGCTAGAAAGTAGGGCGCGAAGCGCCTTGAATTTCTAGTTTATCAATATTTTTTATGACATTTTGGAACGAAACAAAATTAACATTTTCCCATTGAATTTACAAGAAAGTCTATCTTTTATCAGAAAAAGAATAGTTTCCCGGATCTTAATATTCTTTGTGCCCATAACATTTTTGCATTTTGTCAATTTCGTTTTAATATTTTTTCCTTTTAAAAAATTACCTTTACAGAGGATCTTTTCTCTCTGCTAGGTGATCTTCTAAATATAATTAACAATATTTAGAATAATAATAATAATTATTATAATAATGATAATAAAATATTTATATTAATATTAATACTACTACCTATTATCCGGAGAATGGTTTAAACTATCATCGCTAGTATATCCTGTATCATGATCTCCTCTTCTACACAAAATCAAAAAATATTTTATAATAAAAACTTTTTAAAAAGTTAAAAGTCAATTTTAATAAATTTAATATAATTTCACTATAAATAAAATGAAAGAAAAGCTTCAGTTTTAACCTATGTACTTTTCATAGAAAAATGTAAAATGTTAGAATTAAAACTTAGGAATACATATTAACATTTATATTATTTAACTAAAGCAGGGGGCACAGAACACAGTTATTCGTAATTCTATTTGGATTATTTGATTTTTAAACAATCATAAAGAGATCTTGAAAGAGTAAAGGCACATGACCAAAAATAGCTTCTCGGCATGGGTCCGGTGTTCAAGGAGCACCGGACCCATGCATTTGCCAGCCCAAGTGATTAGGGCTGGTATACTTTGCATAGTGCCGGTGCTCCTGAGAGCCAGGACACATTTATAGAGTCATTTACTGTCATGAAAGCCAAGCAAAAGTGAGTTCGATTTCCATTATATCTCTTAAAAGATCTCTTTATTTATTATTTATTATTATTTTTTATTTTTTATTCTTTACTTTTTATTTTTTATTTTTTATTTATTCTTTATTTATTTTTTATAAACTAGAAATGTTTCAGGAACTGAAATGGAGACAACTGGATCATAACAGTTGTTGGATGAAATGTTCTTGAAGGATTTTCAACATTTTACTTTTTATTTTTATTTTTATTTTTTCTTTATTTTTTCTCTATTTATTTGTTACTTGTAATACAATTTTTTATCTTAAACAAAAATGTGTTTTATTTTATTTTATTTTGTTTAATCACATTGGTTTTTAAAAATGTTAATCGGTAAACCAAAAAAGCTCACACAACTCAAGGATGATCATTCTAGGTAATAAAATGGAAAAAGCTAACTCCAGCAGAAACCAGCTCCAAGCGTAAAACAAAACTTTTATAATTAAAATTGGTTTTTGAAAAAACTATTATTTTTATAAAGTTACAAAATTAAATGCTGATGAGTTCTGTGGATGAGGTTCGGTCTACCATAACATCCAGAGATGATTTCAAGGATGCTCGAGGGGAGGAAAACTTAAACTGCCAACTTTTCCAGAAGAAATTCTGAGTTGAAGCATTTTTCGAAATGTCTTCTTTAAACAAATAAATTTGACAAAGAAACTCATTTATGTGAATTACTAATACATAATAGTACCTCTTCACTCCTATAGTTTCTTTTCTACATCCATGATTGAGGAATATAAGGTTGTTTTACTATGCATAAAGATTTTAAATCTTATTTAAATTCTCAAATAGGTGTTCAAAAAAACTTTTGCTACCCACTACACATCGTTTAATTTAAGTTTATTTAAAATTCTGTGTTGATGATACTCAAACCTTACAGAGTAAAATAATAGGTTAGTTCCACATTTTGATATAATATACGTCGCGGTCTGGGTTGACTCTCTTCAGTTCTTGATATTTGTTTTTCAAATTTTTAGTTTAATTCAAGAGATTTGCGAAACCTTTACATATAAAATTAGATATAATGTCGTATTTGCTTATTCTTGTTTGGGGATTCGTCATCATAGGGTCAAACCACCTACAACCTTGATTTTACGCGTAAGTATGAGCTAATTTATTCTGTTACATTTTAGAAATTATTTTTTTTGTTCTTCTCAATTGCTCTTCAATGCAATTCAATTTCAATTTCACGTGCAATTTAATTTGATTCGACGTGGTAGGTTCACTGCAATATGGTTTTTACCTGTAAGGTATTGTGAGGGGTAGAGCTGGTATCCCTGAATACTCAGGGCTTAGGTTTCTGTAGTTCTAAATAATAATAATAATAATAATAATGATAATAATAATAATAATAATAATAATAATAATAATAATGATAATAATAATAATAATAATAATAATAATAATAATGTTTTGTTGTGATTAATTTAATGTAGTGTGTCTATACTATGCGTACCTCTGATCTTGTATATTTGGAGGAATTAGAGGATGAAGAGACCTCAACGGACTGAAGAACAACAGCTGAAGACGACTAAACATCAATATTATCATTAGACTTGAGTTTCATTTTATTCAATAAACGTAACATGTGAACTTTCGACTGTCGAGTGGCGATGTAATTTTGCCATTCAAACCTTTATCTGAGAAACAACGAGGAAGATGTTGTCTTTTCTGTATTCCTGTATTCACTAAAATAGAGAAACAACAATTGTAAATTGTCGATTTTTAGAAGAAAAAAAGAGGATATCTCCATCATTTCTTTTCAAAAAAAGGTTTTACATCATTGTAAGTTTGGTATGCACTCACATAAATTTTACAAGAAGGGGAGAATTCATTTCACATTTGGCGTACCGTCCCGTTTTTCCTTAAATTGTCTGTATTTGGCGTACCGTCCCGTTTTTCCTTATATTGTCTGTATTTGGCGTACCGTCCCGTTTTTCCTTATATTGTCTGTATTTGGCGTACCGTCCCGTTTTTCCTTATATTGTCTGTATTTGGCGTACCGTCCCGTTTTTCCTTATATTGTCTGTATTTGGCGTACCGTCCCGTTTTTCCTTATATTGTCTGTATTTGGCGTACCGTCCCGTTTTTCCTTATATTGTCTGTATTTGGCGTACCGTCCCGTTTTTCCTTATATTGTCTGTATTTGTACAGCTTACTCTAGCTAGTTAAAAGTCACATGAAATTACGTCGAAAGTCCCTTTAAGTATTTACCTTAGTTACACTGTTGTTGTTGTTGTTGTTGTTGTTGTTGTTGTTGTGTACATATCTGTTGTTGTCAGGGAGTTTCACTGAAATACCCAATTACAATTTAAAATGTCGTCTCTTCATTTGTAATCGGGTGGATGTAAGAGTTCAAAAATATAAGATTTTGATTATTTTTTATTATAAAAAAGCATAAAGGAAAAGTTAAGTATAAACAACATATTTAACGGAAAAAACAAACATTTTATAGGAATTTGATGTTAACATATTTCTTTTCTGTGTCATTTGTCCATGTGTTTACACGTGGCTTCTAGATATTAAGGGACAAAATCCTTTAGAATAAACCACTATTAAGACAATCTGTGAAAAGGGGGTCGGGGTGGGGTCTATAGTCGTATTTTGTGAAAAAAATGAGTTTTGTCATTAACTCTTATTTTCTAATCCATAAATCTGTGCAATCCGATGTAGTAGACCCCTTGATTAGGGACGCGTTGGGGAGGGGAGTGGGGCGTTAACCATAGACCCCCATGACTCTAAGCCTAATACATATTACTTACTTTCATATATATATTCGTTTTCTTCACAATTGACAATTTGTCTATATTAAAAAAATAAAATATTATATAATATAAACTATATACAAAAGTGACAAAAGATAATCGATGGCTATAGGTTGTAATATCTGAATGATTTGTTTGAAATTAAATGGATTTTTTACGGTCTAAGTCGTATGTTGCAATTTTCTAAATTTGTATGGGCGCTAAGTTATTCGGTATGAGACGTCTTTAACAAGTTTCTCCTTATAGATGCAACAGATAGATGTAAGATTAGTAGCGATCAAAAGCGCCTTTTTATCGCATTAAGCCTATACCCTCTTTCATCTCTCACGAACACTCCCTTTAATTAATGAATTTAAAACTCTATTTTTTTAATGAGGTGAAGAACGACCGCTCCCTTGACGGTGAACTAAAATATTTTCCAAAAGTTCACCCCCTAGATTAAACCTCCATTACGCCCCTGCCTCTGATGTTTCAAACTATTAATTCTTTTAGAGTAGATAGTTTGAAATATCATTTGAAGGTTTTCATCATTTATATTAAATATTTACCTATAGAATCAGTAGGTCTAGGTTGACCGGCCTTCAATCCTTCTCTGAACTCCCTGGAGACTGATCTAGCGGTTAAACTGTGTACCTGGAATACAGAATACAGATTGTAATAGGAATTTTACAGCCTTTTGATGAACATTACCGACCTATGATTCCCCCAAACAGAGGGAGTTTAAGTTACTTAACGTCCCTTGGGACAGTTATGTGAAATAACCACCCACTCTGAAAAATTCGCGCATTTTCATCTCAAAAAACTATCAAATTGTGAACAATTGAGGATCATGGGAATGTTCTTAGCTTGGTTTTGAGAATCTAAGTTGAGTGGGCTCACTTTATAGGAAAAAAATAGCTAAAATCGTAATTAACGACCAAATGCGGGTAAACGACAGGAGTAACTATGAGTACCCTTGGCAACGCTGGGTTCTCAAGTTAGTTGATAAAAATATAATAATTATTTTCAAATGTTTCCTGATGTTGTTTTGTTGAACATTTGCACAATTTAAACCAAACCTGAAACCCGTGAAACCTCCCTTTAGTCACAATTGTTTATTTTGCATAAAAACTTCCGGTGTTTTTGTTATTCATCTCTACAATATTCATTATATACACTATACACTTGTATTCTAACAGTATTCTATACCATCATCTATTCATTTAATCTAATTTTATAGATTTATCTTATAATCTTGGAAAAAAGAAAACTTTAAAAAATCCAAGGATTTTTATAGTTCAAAATAAAGGTAAAGAATAGAAATTATTTTACTTATTACTTGTAAATTAGATATTTTTACTATCCTAAAAATGATTAAAAGAAAAGAGAATACCAAATACCTATATATGCTTTTTACAACATTACATATACATAAGATTGCTTTATTGTCGTTTTCCTACTCCACTGTTCTATGGGTCCCACTGTATATATATACCTGATGAAACTTTGTTGATGACTGAGGTGTTGGTATCTTTAACATTGCTGGAACCTTTTCCACTTTCTTAACCTAGATAATCATATCATCAGTAGTTATTCACAATCAGACACTTGCTTAAAAAAATAACAATTTAGCTTGATAATGGAAAATGCGACAAAAGATTGAGAAATAATTGAAAACATCTTCTTATCATTAACTATTCATTGACAACAATCAGACAACAGCTTCAAATAACAAACGAGACAACACTTTGAACATAAAAAGAAAAAAAAACAATAATTTTATCATGAAAATGAGAAAACCGATTGAAAATGAGACAACAGAAAGAAAAGAATATGAAAATGAGACAATAGTTTGAAAATCATACTACAGATTGAAACTTAACAGTTTAATATTGAAAAATAAGACGATAACTTGAAAATAAACAGTTTAATATTGAAAAATAAGACAATAACTTGAAAATAAACAGTTTAATATTGAAAAATAAGACAATAACTTGAAAATAAACAGTTTAATATTGAAAAATAAGACAATAACTTGAAAATAAACAGTTCAATATTGAAAAATAAGACAATAACTTGAAAATGAACAGTTTAATATTGAAAAATGAGATGATAACATGAAAATGAACAGTTTAATATTGAAAAATAAGACGATAATTTGAAAATGAACAGTTTAATATTGAAAAATGAGATGATAACATGAAAATGAACAGTTTAATATGAAAATGAACAGTTTAATATTGAAAAATAAGACAATAACTTGAAAATGAACAGTTTAATATTGAAAAATGAGACGATAACTGGAAAATAATGCAATCACTCGAAGTCAAAAAACCATCTTGAATTGTGATAACAAATCTAAATTGAAAAATGGAATTTATTTAAAACTATCTTGGGAACCCAGCGCTGCCAAGTACTAAAATTTACTCCCACCGTTTACCCTCACTTGAACGATTTTACCAGAAAACTAAATTTTTGCTTTTACAGTCGACCCACTCAACTTAGAATCTCAAAACCAAGTTAAAAACACTCCCTGGGTCTCCTGGGTTCCCCAATCAAAGTTTGATGCAAATCGGTTCAGGGGTTCCTGAGTTATGATCGGACAAACAAAAAGACAGACTAACAGAGATTACAACTTTTTATATATATATATATATTAAGCTTTTAGGGCATCTTCTATTTAGATTGTGAACATGTTCTTTTTGTTTACATTTTAAAACAAAGAAGAAAAAATTTTTGCGGATTTTAAGAAAAAAAATTCGCGGATTTTCAAGAATTTCAATTTTTTTACAAAATTAAAAACCTTTAAAACACATTTTTAAAATTTTTATCATTCGTAAACCTTCCCTGTGGTCACGTGATGTCCCACAAAAAATTTGGGCCCAATCGGTTCAGCCATTTTGACGTTTATTGGATACAAACAAACAAACAGACAGACAGACGGACAAGCCAAATTTATATATAGATATAGATAAAGACCTGAGGTTTCATCCTCTGCTGTGATGAAGGTTTAGCTTGAAACATAGATCTCAAATCTTGAACTGAAAATTCAGAAATTAAAAATATATTTTTAACATATAAAAATTGACATCTTAAAAAATACACATCGTTTACTCAGTAAAAATATTTAGAACTGCAATGCAAAAAGTGCATTTTAATTTGTCCATTTTAATTTTTAAAAATCATTATAAAAAACGTTGGTTCATGATTTCCTTTTCGATGAGATTCATTTAAAGTGATATCTGACATTAAATTTTTGTTCAATAATTTAAAAATTGCGATATTGAACTCTATCGAATTGATAAGAAACCCGTCAAGAAATTCTATCAGTTTTCGACAGGCCGAACTAAATATTCTATAAGTATTTTAAACATTAGAAATTTTAATCATTGCGGAAGAAAATTTTTTTCATGAAAAAAAAATCCTTTATTTCATTATGAGAGAAATTAAACATATTTTTGATATAATACCCGAAGGGAGGATGGGGGCCTCCAGAGAATCGTCAGGGGCGTCCAGATAATCCTCATCCGGGATACAAGGGGCGGGACCAGACCCTGGGGGCTCAACGGGGGGTAGGTGAGAGCTAGGGCGGATCTGACGAGATTTATTTTCACATCTAAAATATTAAGTTTCTCATTTTTTTCCACAAAAGTGATTATCTTTCTTTAACTTGATCTGTCAGGTCGTCTTTTTCTTGGTGGTCTGCTCTGCAACCCATTTCTACATATCATTTCCCAATTTTCTTTAAAGGGATAGACCGGCTATGTAAGGTAGTTGAACTGAGTATGCGGTGTTGTGGAAAGCTTCTTTAGGATTCATTTGAGACGTCGTAATTCAGTAATTAAAAAAAAAAACGATTCTGAAAACGTATCCACCCCCAAAGTAAGAGTTTTGAACTTCAAATTTGCCCTCAAACTTAGGATTTACAGATCTTTAAAAAGTTTTATATGTCTCAAATGAATCCTAAACAAGCTTTCCACAACACTGCATACTCAGTTCAACTACCTTACATAGCCGGTCTGTCCCTTTCAGTGGACTGTCCGCAATAAAAACTTTTAACCCTTTTGTTTAAAAGTTTACACTATAGACATCGAGTTCAGTTGATTTGGCTCAACCTCGACCAAGAGTTTTAGCTTCTCATCAAATTTCATAAAATCTATTTTTAATAATTTTTAATGATAAAAATGTCAAACTTACTTAAGATTGAATGATGTTGGCCCCCCTCCACTCTTGGATAAATTATCCTCCTCTCTAACCTCCCTGGGGCCTCTTTGTCCTCTGGCCTCAGCTTCTTGAGGTCCCCTGGACTCGGTTATTTGAGGACCCTTGGGACCCAGAACTGTGACCTCGTTTGGTGCATAGGATACACGCTTCTCTACAGTTCGTTTAGAAACATGTTTCATTTTAGGAGGTAAAGGAGGTGTCAGATCATCCTAATACAAATTTCATTTTAAATAATTTTAATTATTTCTTTTTAAAAAGTGGAACAAAACAATATATAATATTTTTATTTTGGAAAATGATTCTTTAATAAAAATGTTTTTCATCTTGTTTGTTTCTGTTCCCTCACCGATCAATTTAGACATAAGTTGTATCGTATGTAAATAATAAATATATCTCGATGTTTGATTTTTATTTTAATTTTCTATTTCCTTTAATTTTCAGCTGTTTAATGCACCTGTACTGAGTTAAAATGGAATCAAGTTTTTGCAACAAACTCTGATATTCTAATCCCTATATATTTGCAAACTATTTCTAAGACCTTTGATATTACAAACTTAGATTTAGTTTACACTGTCGAAGGTTTCAAATATATAGGGATTAGACAATTTAAGTTTATGGCAAAGACTTGCAATCCGATGAAAAACATATTTATTATAAAATAACATATTTATTATAAAATAACATATTTATTATAAAATAAAATATTTATTATAAAATAAAATATTTATTATAAAATAACATATTTATTATAAAATAACATATTTATTATAAAATAANATAACAAAGATTTGGTCAACGAGAAATCAGTAAATTTGACCAAATTCAAATTCCATCCGCCTTTATGAAGTTACAGTTTTGTAGCTAAACTCCATTTGATTTAAAAGTTTCGAGCTCAAATTAGAGGACTTTTTAATGGGATTCCATTGGTCAAGTCTAACGGAACGTTTACCCCATAAGAGATAGGAAAAAAAATTGAAAATGAGTTTTCGTGGTGAAAAATCAAGAAATCAAATAAACTTCATAACTTTGCAAATTTTTGCTAGAAGTATGTTTAAAAGTTTGTAAAATCGGACGAATTTTTCTCTGTTTTTAATAAAAAAGTTTTTGATTAATACAATTTTTTACTAATTTTCCTTTTTCATAATTCCGTAAAAAAACTAATATGATTTTATTTTTTCTATAAAAAATGGATTCCCTGTTCTCTTTTCTTTATTTCTTCTTGAAATCTCCGGATACCATCTGACACACTACAAATAATCAAATATTAGTATTCCCAAATAGAACTGTGACCAAGTTAAATGAACAGCGAGAAGTAGTTGACCTACGTAGAATAAGTTGAGCGAATTCTCTTGTGCGCCGGTTCAAGTTCAAGGGCTCAACTTAGTCTAGATATTTCAACTATTTCTCGTTATTCCTCAAACTGGGAACTTTTGAATGAAGGGATCATACTCAGGGGAGAAACTAATCTTCTTTTATGCAAGTGAATGAGATTAACTTAACCCATTAATTCATAAGTTTCCAGCTTCAATTTGAAACAAAAGTGCCAACATTTAGTTTTATTAGAATAAACATAAAAAATACCAAATTTTAGTTAAAATACAACCCCTCCCCGCCTCCCCCTTAATGCAGTGTACATCCTACAAATGAATTGAGTAGATAAGACTTTTACATTTATGGCGATTTAATAAATTCCAGTTTAAATTTTTCGGACTCAAGATACTCAAACAGATATAATGAATTTACTTGATGGTTGGAAACTCAGAGGTCTCATCCTCACTTTCTTCCACAGTTTCAGAGTTAGTCTCAGACATATCAGAGTTTCTTTCGCCGTTTCTCACCATCTCTCCACCATTTATACCATGATATACGCCCTGGATATTCTCTCCACCTCTAAGAGTCTGCCTTCTAAATTTTCTATTGTACTCTCCGCCTTTTTTAATGTCGTCTTCTCTAGTTTTGTTGAAATCTCGAAGATTTTGTTCCCGCTGTTCCTTTAGCTCACTAATTTCTCTCTCTGTCCGTGTTTTACCGTTCTGGCTCACGCTCATCGTCTAAAAACACAAGTTTTTTAGCTCAATAGGGTTTACCGAGGGGAGGAAGGCCAGCCACAACAGTTTCTTCTCCGAGCCACCTTCTCCTCAATTTCTCCTCGAAATTCTCGTCTTTCGATTTTATGTGTTTTAAAGTTTCCAATTTTCAAAGGAAAAACTATTTTTTCTATCTTGCCACGTTAGAGCATAAAATATGATTAGACTAAAGTATTGCAATGATTAAATTATGTTGGAATATTCAAACCCATGAGAATGTATGGATGTAAAACTTTATTTATGTAAAACTTAAATCTCTAACCTTCGTGATATAAAATAAATAGGAAAATATATGGCATACCTCTGCCTATCATTTTCCCCATGGAACCACCCGGAAAAATTCTATGGTTTTCACTATAATTAAAAAAAGATTAAAGTTTTATAAACTTATTATTTGCAGCATTCAACACCAGGAATGTCTGAAAATGTGCGTAAAATGGTGAACATTTTTAAGGACATTAAACTTGATTAAACTAAGATTTCTAGGTGGCTCGGATCAGAAAATGAGGAGAATGTGGCTTTTCGTACTCCATTACTTACTCTCTCCTCTCCATTAATATATGCATCACTTCTCCTACATACTCCATTCCTTACTCTCTCCTCTCCATTAATATTATTCATCACTTCTCCTTGATACTCCATTCCTTACTCTCTCCTCTCCATAAATACTATTCATCACTTCTCCTTGATACTCCATTCCATACTCTCTCCTCTCCATAAATACTATTCATCACTTCTCCTTGATACTCCATTGCTTACTCTCTCCTCTCCATAAATACTATCCAATACTTCTCCTTGATACTCCATTCCTTACTCTCTCCTCTCCATAAATACTATCCAATACTTCTCCTTGATACTCCATTCCTTACTCTCCTCTCTCCATAAATACTATTCAACACTTATCCTTGATACTCCATTCCTTACTCTCCTCTCTCCATAAATACTATTCATCACTTCTCCTTGATACTCCATTCCTTACTCTCTCCTCTCCATAAATACTATCCAATACTTCTCCTTGATACCCCATTCCTTACTCTCCTCTCTCCATAAATACTATTCATCACTTCTCCTTGATACTCCATTCCTTACTCTCTCCTCTCCATTAATATATTCAACACTTCTCCTTGATACTCCATTTCTTACTCTCTCTTCTCCATTAATACTATTCAACACTTCTCCTTGATACTCCATTCCTTACTCACTCCTCTGCATTAATACTATTTACCGCGTATCATAGTCTCCTTATGTATTCTAATTAGTGGCCATTTAACCAAGCAATTAATCCTACATATTGTAATTAAACACTGTAATTAAACTTGGGAAACTATTATCCTTCTATAAATTAGAATCATTAGAATCTTAGAAAATTCGCATCGTTCATTGTGAACATACCAATTAAAAAAGATTGTTTTAAGGGACTTCAAGCTTAGTTTCAATTGACCCTCTCAAAGAAGGCAATGCCTGATTCACAACAGAATCTTTAAAAGCTTTATTATGAATTTCTCCAGAAAAGTGATTTGCACATTTACTTCAGGAAAATAGAAAGGAAATATCAGAACTTAAAAACTTTTAAACCTAGAAAAACAACAATATCTTCCATAATCTTGATCAGATAAGGGTTTAAGAATAACGTTGTATATACAATTAGGGCTTTGCGATCTGTAAATGGAGTGTGACTTGAAATAAATATACCTGTGCAAACCTGACATTTTTTATAATACCGCTCATTTCTACACTGCAAATACAACCTATTGTTCACTTGGATTATTGTGATGATTGATTAAGAATCGGAGAGAAATAACTGAAAAAAAGCTGCTAACTAAAACATTAAGTGAATAAGTAAGTTACTGGGTCATTATATAAGAATGGATGAGTGCGATGAATGCAAAGATTGTAACTAAGGATGGATGAATGGGATGAATGTAAGGATTGTAACTAACGATGGATGAATGGGATGAATGCAAGGATTGTAACTAACGATGGATGAATGGGATGAGTGCAAGGATTGTAACGCTACTGCAGCATCAACTTGTTTTAATTATTTCAAGGTTTCCGTTAATCATACAAACCATTATATAGAAAATATAGAACACACTAGACACATAAAAGAAAAAAAATATTTTTTAAATAATTTGCAGCATTTCTTATTTTGCTTAAAACGTAGAATTTGTTTTCTTTTTTAAATGTGTATCGTTGAAATCACTAAAAAAAACTTTTTATGTTTAAAAATGAACGATTGTATAAAAAATCTATGTCGAACCATGTACTACGTAAAGTACAAATATTATTTAATCTAAAAAATGTTAATATTACAGGTTTGCCTGGAAGGGATTGAATAAAAGGAAATGACATGCTTTCTATCCATCAACTCCTATATATACACTACATACACGTCCTACCCCCTCTATACTATTCTTATACCGGATATAGTTCATGGAGTATATATAGAGGGTATACGTAGAGATATCTTGGAGTATATACATAGGAAGTATACATAGAGATATCTTGGAGCATATATATACATAGGAGGTATACGAAGAGATATCTTGGAGTATATATAGGAGGTATACGTAGAGATATATTGGAGTATATATATATAGGTGGTATACGTAGATATTTGGTAAATTTTATTGTTTTATAAAAAATTTGTTATTTGATTAGAGTCTGTAGTAAATAGTAAAAAAAGCTTGCATATTCATGAAATAAAATTTATACAATTCTTGCATTTAATTCTGGAAATTCAGAAAAATGATGTTGAACACAGTACACAGGACAGTTACACTCATGATACAAATATGTGTGTGTAAGGTAAAATGACAGTTTTTGAAATATTTTCGTCTGAAGGCTCCGCCCTACATTCATACTTTCTTCACTTTTCACATTTTCTAATATTCTATTCTTTAGTCTGAAATAAATTATGTACATTTATTCCTACCTTCTAGAATAGTATTTTATTATATTTGAATATCCACCACAGACTGAGAAGTTAAAAAGTAGTTAAAAAAGAGTTATTAATTATTTACACCTACAATTTTTTAACTAATAGCATGTACCAAAGCTACCTACGTAAAACAACCCTCCCCCCCCCTCCACGGCCAACATATCCGGACTTCTTCATCATCACTGGGACACTGACATACTTTCATGAAGCTTTAAAAAATTGTTGATTTTCTGTTAATTTGTTGTAATGTGTACACATAAAAAGAGAAACTGAGGGATTTTTATTAATTACGGATATTCATAAAGTCTGGAGGAAAAGGCGATAAGAAAAAATCATCCAACCCCTTTTTTCTAAACGGTTTAGGATTTAAAACTCAAAACCTTCATTATTTATGATGTTAGAATATATTGAAACTAGGCTAACCAGGGTGCTTCGCGTCTATCTTCTAATTGTGAACATTTTCTCTTTGTAAACATAGTAAAATAAAGACAAACAAAAAATTCGCAGATTTTATAAAAACAAAATTCGTGGATTTTCAAAATTTTCAAAAATCAAATTTTGTTAGAGGCAAATTTTTGAAATTTTGATCATCCATAACCTTCCCTGGGGTTATGTGAGGTCCCACAAAAATGTGGGCCCGTTCGGTTCAGCCGTTTTGACGTTTATTGGATACAAACAAACAGTCACCCAGACAAGCAAAGTTTATATAAAAATTATTCTTCTACAATATTGTTGTGCTTTATTATATTATAAATCAAGAACAGATACTTTTGTGAAATATCTGTGATTATAAAATGTGGTATAGTACCTTGTTTGTAGCAATACACTGGATATAGTTGGAGTTTAGGACTGCATTCTCTGAAGTCATAATTACAGCTCCATCCTCGTTTATGTAGTAGTCTCGTTTATACTGCAGGTCAAAACAAGAACATTTTTCAATATTTTACGTTTACACTTAGCTTTGCTATTGGATTTTCAAAACTGTCTTGAAAGAAAAAACTTTTGATTAATGTTCAGAAATTGACATAATCTATATCTATAGTGAATGGCTGAGATTGTAGAGACGACCAAAAACTCTTAAAATGTGACGATCTCAAGGTTAAATTATGTTTTCTTACTTGAATAAATTTATTTTATGATTTAGCAAAGAAACAACCAAGTTTAACATTACTGCAAGGTATCATGAATATTAGGAAACTGACAGTATACATTCGAATGTGGGATATATGGGAACTATATAGTTTCAGTAGAAGTAGATATTTCCATTTACTGATAGCGCCGATTGAAGGATTCATAACTCTAATTGGATAATGAAATAGATAGAAAGATAGTTGTTACCGTCGTACTATTTCTATTGGTTCAGAATAGACAACAAACACATGACTGAACCCCGATTGGATCAGACGCTAATGGACTCGGCATACAGGAGTGATTCTGTACAATCGCCTTTGAAGTCTCATCCTTTTTTAGGTAGCCCTGTATCTCCCAGTTTTAAAGGGATTGTTTAGATATTTGTTTAATGTGGAAGGTACTAATTATTTAACCGAGGTTTAAAATCTTAACAAAATTATATTAGAACAATAATGGTTTTCACCATAATTTCTCATTTAATCAAGAACGTATACAGGGAGCATGGGGGCATGGGGGCATTGCCCACACCAAGACCCCTCCCCCCCTGAAACTCAGAGCTATCACACTTTTCAAATCTGAAACTGAAGAGTGAAGAATATTAAAAACATTAATTTGCTGTTTTTTCTACTATTTTTGTTTGATGGAGAGATAAAGTAGTCCTTGCACGGTAATTGGACTGTAAAGTGTATATATGTACCTTTAAAGTCTCCAAGAAGCCAAATTTTTTGAATTTACAGAACAAATTTTGCGCTTTGCGCATATTTTGCCAACCCCCCCCTAGATTTATTTCTGTAAACGCCCTTGCATTCAATGTTAAGACGACAGAAACTTATATCTTGACAAAGTCTTTTTCAAGAACGAAAAAGGCAAATTCATTTATTTTGCTAATTTGTCGTGTTTAGAGCCTCTGGTAAATTCGAGAAGTAAAATTAAATTCATTTCCGTCAAAATCTAGACCTTGTTCAATTCATAACTGGGCTGAGCTTTTGAAATTAGGGGTTTAAAATTTTTCTCGATTTTTTATTGGTTGATATTTGAACTTTAAGCAATGTAAGACCAATAATAAAATTGGGTTTGGGGTCTACACATTCAATAGTTCCCAGCGCAGATTTTATTCAATTCCTGCGAAAAAAACGAAAATGAAGAAAAATATTCCTTGTTGTCAATAGAGTGTGGTCCGCAGTCTAGTTTCATGAGTCCTTTATCTCTTTCTTCTATGATTCCACAAGAAGTAACACTAGCAGTAGGGTTGGCAGGCTGGATCAGGTAAAGATCACCAGTTGTTCTAAAATTTAAAGATTTCAATTCAACCATTCCTTACCCGAACCTTACTTATTTTACCTTAACTAACCCAACCTTATCTAATCCAACCTTACCCAAACCTTACTTATTTTACCTTAACTAACCCAACCTTTCCTTACCCGAACCTTACTTATTTTACCTTAACTAACCCAACCTTATCTAATCCAACCTTACTCAAACCTTAACTAACCCAACCTTATCTAATCCAACCTTACCCAAACCTTACTTATTTTACCTTAACTAACCCAACCTTATCTAATCCAACCTTACTCAAACCTTACTTATTTTACCTTAACTAACCCAACCTTATCTAATCCAACCTTACTCAAATCTTACTTATCCTACTTTACCAAATCCAACCTTATCTAATCCAACCTTACTCAAACCTTACTTATCCTACTTTACCAAACCCAACCTTATCTAATACAACCTTACCCATACCTCACTTATCTTACCCTACCAAACCAAACCATATATAATTCAACCTTACACAAACCTGACTTATCTTACCCTACCAAACCCAACCTTGCCCAACCCTGACTTATCCTAACTTAGCCCATTACAACATTACCAAATCCAACCAAACCCTACCTTACTCTAAACCCAATCTTAACCAAGCCATCCAAATCTTGACGACCCCCCTCCCGACTTACCTAGCAGAAGAGATAGATTCCTCTCCTGAGTTAACAGATCCCTTAGATAATCGTCTTTCAATACTCGCCTAAACATTTATTAAATATTACACGTGTAATGTAATAAATGTTTTAATTTAAACTAGGCTTTTAGGCTGCTTCACACCCCATCTTGTGAACATATTCTCTTTGTATACTTTGTAAAACAAAATTTCGTGGATTTTCAAAATTTACAAAATTCGAATTTTGTTAGAGGCAAATTTTTAAAAATTCGATTATCCATAGACCTTCCCTAGGTTCATATGAGGTCCCACAAAAAAGTTGGGCCGGATCGGTTCAGCCGTTTTGACGTTAATTGGATAAACACCCAGACAAGCAAAGTATATATAGATGTATGCTTTCTTCCATGACATTTTAAACCCTAATTTTTTTATATTATTTGGAAATATTTTTAACTTTTTGACAGAAATTTAAATGTTTGATACCACAGGTCTAGTAGAATGGTATCAATAATTGTAATTTTGTTATTTCTTTTAAAACTGCTTTAAACATTGATATGTAAAGCAGTCAGAGGTGAAGTGTATGTATGAAAAATGATTCATGTTTATCTATGGAATTTCTGAAATATCACCTGACTATAAGGATTATTTGGGAGTTGAATAGCTTTCTCAATCCACTTCCGATGTTCCCTGTAAGCTATACTTCCTAGAAAATATAAAATTATTACAAAATGTAATGAAGACGACATGACAACAATTTAATCCTTCTGATCAAAAATGATGTTATTAAAAAACGTCAAAATATTTCCATCCAAATCTTTCATTACAATCATAAATATTTTTGACTTTATTGCTTTATTGCCTTCTTGGACCCCTACACCAGGAAGAAGAGCAGGGTCCAGCCCTATCTATTCCTGGAGGAGGAGCAGGGTCCAGCCCTATCTAATCTATACCTGGAGGAGGAGCAGGGTACAGCCCTATCTATATCTGGAGGAGGAGCAGGGTCCAACCCTATCAATATCTGGAGGAGGAGCAGGGTACAGCCCTATCTATACCTGGAAGAGGAGCAGGGTCCAGCCCTATCTATACCTGGAGAAGGAGCAGGGTCCAGCCCTATCTATACTCTGGAGGAGGAGCAGGGTACAGCCCTATCTATACCTGGAAGAGGAGCAGGGTCCAGCCCTATCTATACCTGGAGAAGGAGCAGGGTCCAGCCCTATCTATACACGGAGAAGGAGCAGGATCCAAACCTATCTATACCTGGAGAAGGAGCAGGGTCCAGACCTATCTATACCTGGAGAAGGAGCAGGGTCCAGACCTATCTATACCTGGAGAAGGAGCAGGGTCCAGCCCTATCTATACCTGGAGAAGGAGAAGGGTCCAGCCCTATCTATATCTAAAGGAGGAGCATGGTTCAGCCCTATCTATATCTGGAAGAAGAGCAGGGTCCAACCCTATCTGTACCTGGAAGAGGAGCTGAGTCCAACCCTATCTATATCTGGAAGAGGAGCAGGGTCCAACTTTATCTATACCTGGAAGAGGAGCATGGTCCAACCCTTTCTCTATCTGGAAGATGAGCAGGGTTCAACCCTATCTATACCTGGAAGAGGAGCAGGGTCCAGCCCTGGCGATTCTCTTGAACCCTCCATCTCTTCAGGCTCACCAGGTTTATCCGGGTTTAGATCAATACTGGAGGCAGGTTCAGTATCATTCATTCCAGAGTTAGGAGCCCCAGAAACATTCTATACAATATATAACTTATTCTAATGTAAATAGAAACCGATCTTCGTTCATATCATCTACATAAAGACTGTTGAGACGATTAAAATTACACTTGAATATAAATACATTTTACAGTTTGAAAATAAAATAATCGATTTTAAAGGAATATACTGTAATTTATGTTTCAAGTGTTTTTATTGCCTACAGGCACTTAATTTCTAAAGTCATATTATGAACTTATGGATCAGAGTAAAATATTACTAAGTTAACTGCTTGTTGAGTTATTCTTAAAGGGACTGTAAGCGTAATTTCGAGTGACCCTACACGCAAATATGGTAGTGCCCGATTTACAAAGGTACCCTTACAACCTTAATCTAATCAAAAATGTAAATTTTCTGACTCGAAAGGTAGTTAATTCTGATAATTTCTCAATTGTTTCTTGTAAGCAAGAAATACACAAGTCACTAATGCAGGGAAACCGCAAATGAAATAAAACATTGGAAACATTAAAATCTAAATAATGCTTGATCAGACAACGCTGTTAATGACCCATATCGGACATTGTCACCTGTGCAGAGAGGTTAAAGTGAAATTACGCGCTCAGTCCCTTTATTCCTATTTTAACTTATATTATTTTAGTATTGAAGTGAACTCATTGAGTTTTATTATGCTTGTAAATTGGTTTTATTTTTCATGATATATAATCATGGATCAAAGGAAAATTGAGTTTTTGCCGCAAACTAAAATTTATAATCCCTATATATCTGCAATCTAATGGTGTTAACCTTGAACAGAATTCATTGTTTAAAATATCAAAGGTCTTCGACATCGGAGTTTAATTGCAAAGATAAGGGGATTAAAAATTAGAGTTTGTGGCAAAACCTCATTTCCTTTGATTTATTTGTTATGGTTATTCAATTTCCCTCACTACGTGTATGACTTACTTACAAAAGATCTTGCCTCATCAATTGAAAACTAAAATCCCGAATCAATCTCAAAATATCCCGCCTCAGCCCCTGACCAGAGCTATTTTCAGTTAAGTATGATTGTGTAATGTGATGTGATTATGTGAATTCTTACAGAAATATCATTTATAATTTTCCCTCCATAAAGGTTCACAGACGAAATCATTTAGTCTTGCAACATTAGACATTTATGCGTATCTAGTCATTTTAACAATTCATCAAATATCTTAGCAGTATTAGAATTTACAAAAGAGAATAGATTTTAAAAATGTCAATCGTGATTTTTGGTAATTTAATAATTTTAATCAGCAATCTTAGACGAATGTTTTTTTCCTTCATTTTTATAATAAAAACTAAAAAATTCACTATTTTTTAACAAATATTTTTTTTTTAATTAGAATTTAAGGGTGCTCTAACCTGTGCATCCTCAGAATCAGTTTCTAGTTCCCTGCCATCCTTTTCACAAAATCCGCCATTTTGAGACTATTTTTAAAAACAGAAAGGATAATAATCCGCCATTTTGAGACTATGTTTAGAAACAGAAAGGATAATAATCCGCCATGTTGGGAGTATTTTTAGAAACAGAAATTATGAAAATTCGCCATTTAGGGACTATGTTTAGAAACAGAAAGGATAATAATCCGCCATGTTGGGAGTATTTTTAGAAACAGAAATTATTATAGTTCGCCAATTAGGGACTCTTTTTCGAAACAGAAAGTATAATGGACCTTCATTTTGGAACTCTTTTTAGAAACAGAAAGGATATAAAAACCGCAATTTTTAATGGACTCAATTTAAAAAAAACAGATAGGATAAAAACTCAACATTTTAGGGTATATTTAAAGAAACGGAAAGGATAAAGGTCCGCCATCTTGGGACAAATTTTTGAGAGAAAGGATATGGTCTGCCATTTTGGATCAACTTTTGGAAACAGAAAGGAAAGTGGTTCACAATTATGGGACTATTTTTAGAAACAGAACGGACTATTTCATAGAAACAGAAAAGACTATCATGTCTGGCCGAATTCTTGAAAACAGCAAGGATAATAATTGATTATTTTAAGCTTTTTAACCATCATTAATTTGTCTGAAGGGTTTGAATTCCTTGAGTTTTACTAAACCAGGTTTGGTGGAGACCTCACGATTCTTTGCCTCAGTTACACCTGTTACATTGGTTTTTCAAATCATAAATATTTAAAATACAGTGGAACCAGAAAACTGTGGAATAAGGAAACGACAATTATAAATTTTTCTGTTGTAATTGGTGGGAAAATCGTTTTTTTTTAAAATCAATTTTGTTTATATTTGTTACAATACATTTTTTAAAATAAAAAATTATTTTATTCTAAGAGATAATTAATTGGACAACTTAAACAAACGTTATTATCTAATGGAGTTTTTATGCAGGAATATGAAAAAAATATCATTACAAAAAGTAAAAATTTAAAGATTCAACTGCAATACAATTGTATACGCGAGAAATATGTAAAAAAAATGACAGCGATGAAAATTAATCAAATTAAAAACAATTGTTTTTGTTTGTGAAGTTTTAATATTTGACATCAGGTTGCCAAGATATTAGGATTATGAAAATATAGCCCTTCCATAGAGTAAGGTTTTATCATATACCTTGTAGAATATCATACACAAAGTCACTAAAATCAAAAAACTCCTTTTTTAAATTCAAATCTAAAATTTTTAAGAACGATCAGATTAAAAAAACTTTTTGATACAAAATGTTCGTACTGTTACACTTTCCCGCTTACTGCGAATACTGAATGAGAAAAATGTGGAAAAGGGTGAATAAGATAAATCAAAGATTTTTTATTAAAACAAAAACTTGAACTTATGCTTTAAATGCTTGACGAGAAAGAAAGATTACAATAAGGCAGAAAAATAAAAAAATAAAGACATATATATAGTGTAACATTGGTCTTGATCTAAGTCTATATATTTTGCATAAATTATCATTATTTTTTCTCTCTATCATTTAAAAAATCCTTGATTCTCACTGCTGCATCATTGTTTATAATTAGTAAAGTTTAGACTAGTAATTAATCAACCAAAACATACAAAATAAAAATAAGATAAAAAACATGTTTTCAGAACCCCGCTTTAAATCCGAGTTTTTTATTAAATATTAAGAGATATCTGTTGTAGTGTACACGGAACTTAACGACACATATGTTGGATTTTAGTAATTTTCTTAAGTAAAGGTTAGGATATAATATAATTGAATTCTCCTTCTCAAACTTTATTTTTCCGGAAAATCTTGTTATAAAAATCTCCTTGGTTACTAAAATATCTCATTCGTCAAAGGATGCCATCTCAAAGACGAATGTAGGTACCAAATATAATAATTATCAAGTACAATAAGTGGCAACAGAGAATTATGGACCATGGATTTTACACGACGTCAAAAGTGTCAGATATAACAAAATTAGTTGACATGTTTTTCAACATTAAATAAGTGTAAAAACAGAAAATAAAGAATACATATAATTTCATTTACTGTAAGATAAACACTTTATTCTAAAATTATCATTATTATCAATAATTTTGTCGGACACAAAACCTTAGTTGATACTTGTGACGTAAGAATACAGCTGTACTGAAAGTGTTCAAATAATACAGCTGTACTGAAAGTGTTCAAATAATACAGCTGTACTGAGAGTGTTCAAATTCTACGTTGCCATCTATTGTACTAGAATCTATTTGGAAGGGACCTTCTTCAGTCCCTTTTTTCATACTTGGGTCCATGAATAATAAACTTAATTAATTTTCTGGCAAACCGTCATTAAACTCATCATTTTAAAAAGAAGACCAAATTTAATGAGTTTTGGTTCGCCATTAAAGTATAATGCATTTTGGCTAACCTTGTATCCTTTTAAAAACCTACCCTTCTGTACAGAGAAAATTTAATAATGACGCTAAGATTAAAATTGAAAATAAAAGAGTATCCCAAAAGATTAACAATTATGTGTTCACAAATATTTGTTGGTTTCAGACAAAGATATTTTACACAGGGCCGTAGAGTTATTACACAATTTTTTTTGGGACGCTTTGTGGATCTTCAATAACTTTAAATAGTTTTGATCAACAACGATACCTGATGTTGAATTTTTAAGAATAGAATAAATTGTCATTTTATTTAACAATTTCCTCTATATTCAACTGTACACCTTACACTGGGGGAATAGTACGCACTGCGTCACAGTTCACGGTTCCGTGCGTCAAATACTCCAGCGCTAATCAACTTTAAGTATAGATACGCGAGGGCATAAATGCGTCAAATATGTCTGGTATTCACTTTATAAGTGTTTTAACAACTAATTACGTGTCTAGCATCCACATTTTCCTTTCAATCAAGGATTTGAAGATTAAGATACATTTCATAATCAACTCTTGAAAAAAATAATAAAACATATTTATAATATAATTTCAATAAATTACTTTAATCCTTTTTCATCCTAGGACTAATGCTTATTGTTCAATTCAAATTTTGATCAAAACAAAATCGTTAAATAAATTATAAGTGGGTAATTTTCTAATGGGCGTATACAGAGTGGGTAAGGGGGCAGTGCCCCCTTGACCTGTAAAGGCGTAACCTCCCTAGGACTTTTCCCTTTTCAAGAGTGAAGAACATAAAAAAATATTTTGCTGTTCATTCAGTGCACTATTTAAGAAGATTGTATCAGTGGACCAGAGCCACCATGACAGAAGTCTGAATGAAAAATCTATTTAGAATGCATATTCATTCTAATTGGATGGGCGTTATCATGGATATCGAAATAAGATTGATAAAAATGTAACTCAACAATAATAAGGTTCTTTTATATTTGTTTAGATAGTTTTTATTGAACCTGTACGCCACAACGCATCTAACACTAATGATAGTTTAATTATAGATGCTAAATATTAATTGGTCAAATAATATTCATTCAGTATTTAATTTAGATATGGACAAACATAAAGGGATATTCATGGCAGGAAGCGGCGGGGTTTATCTCGAAGGGATGAAGTTGTGGAAAAATTCTTAAGAGGTCATGGATTACATTTTATAAATAAGATTTACAATATTAATTTTTTATATTACTTTTGATCTCCGAATTCCTTACAGTTTCTGTTCCACATCAATTCAAGTTTCACACAAACCATCTCCCTTATTTCTAATAAACATCAAAGTAAATACATAATCTATATTATAAAGCTCTTCGCTTAAATATATGCACAAAAAACGAAAAACGCACACAATACTCGAAAAAAATAGTAATTTCTCATTTGCACTTTTGTGTCATTTGCACATTTGTGTCATTTGCACATTTTTTTTTATTTTTTTTAGCCTAGCACAATTTTTTAAAATGGTTTAATCTTTTTAAATCTTCTGATATGGCCTGAAAATCGCAATTAAGAGCTATAACGATCTAATATGATGTGGGACACCCTGTATGTTAGCTACAGCTGGCCAAACGGCTGGACCGAATGTGCTGAAATTTTTGAGGGAACCCATGCATGGGTGCCCGGGTAGGAACAAAGGCTGTAAAAATCGAAATTTTTTTTTCCAAAATAATTTTTTTTCTTTCAAAATACGGGCACTCCATCTGGTTTCTTGTAAATGCTTAACATTTATCTTTATTTCCAACTCCAAAACATTAGTGCATTTCCTGTAAGTATTTTTATATTTCATAAATTAATATTAAAACAGAAATAGATGTACTTTTTTAAATTTTATTTTAAAAATGTTTGAGGATGAGAGAAAGGAATGGGTGTTAGAATATTTGCCCCTGTTGACCTTATTTCAATTTTCAATGTCATCAGCACGTGGACGCCATTTTGATCGTTGACGCGTTGAACTCGGATATTTATTATTTTCAAATTTTTACAAGTTTAATTACTTTTTGTTGTTAAAATTAATATTTAATTTAAAAATAATTATAATCTAATCTAAAATTATCTGAAAACAGTAAACACCATATATCAGTAGATTTGCAATTTAGAAATTATTCAAAACTAATCTAAAATTATTAACAACAAAAAACACCATTAATCAGCAGAGTTGCATTAGAAATATGATGCAAATAATAAAGTATTTAAACCAAAGATTTCACTGATGGAAAAAAGATGTATTTGTTTATTCATTTGTTTTAATTATTCTCTTCCGTTTACCCTTCAGCCCAAAAATGGGTGGACAAAAAATAAAAATAAGGAAAAATCGCAAATCGCAAAAAACCTCCCAAAAAAGTTCATTTTTGTCCGAAAAAATGACGCTCCATAAATCGGTAAAAACTTGTGAAGTTTTGGTTTTGGATTAAAGTCTAAAAAACATTATTTTTTACTTTTTTAAACGCGTTTTAAGATTTTTTGGTGTAACGACCCTGTATTTGAGAATGACATCTATGGTTGGTATTCTCCTAGAGCGGAACATTATTACGAGGAACTAATAATAGTATTGACACGCACTGTAAACAACGAATTATTCATTTAATNGGGTTTTCCGCGCCATTATAGTTCGCAAATTTAGCACTCCAGAAATATCCCGCCAAACAGCTTTTCATCTTTTATCCGCCATTTTGTTTTGCCTTACTAAAAATTAGAAGTTACAATATTGGATGTTTAAAAATTCCTCCTCAAAAGTTAAATTTTTTTGTTATATTTTACTCATTTACTTTCTTCTGGCAGAAGTGGTGTAGAAAATGGATATAAACAAAAACTTATAATTTCTTGTTCAAACATGTGCCAGATGAAAACTTTCACGCTAAATATCATATACACTATACAGCGTGGTCCACAAAGTATGAGACCTTAGAGACGAATGTACGAAAATGGTAGCTCTTATTTCTTAAATACTTATACTTCTACGCAGCTGTAAACTTGATTCTAATTATAAAGGGACTGTTAAGGAAAAATGAAAAGGTATAGGCTGAAACCTCAACACTTTAGGAGATGATCGAGTAATAAATTCAAATTAAAATAACAGCGTAACAAACCTCTGGGTTATCGTAATTTTCTGATTATGTATTTGATGAATATGATCTGTTTAAAACTTTGATTATATACCACATTTGACATATATAAGTTTTGGTATTACGTTGACACAGTTTTATATCAATTTCTCGAGACTGGAACCTCAGATAGAACTCATATAGGTCGCGATCAACTCAAGTGTTTAGGTTTCAGCCTATAACCCCTTTCATTTTTCCTTAACAGTCCCTTTAGAAGCCAGATTATTTATCATACCTAAAAATAACTATATTTGAGGCATTGTTTATGGTCGTCATTGAAAACATAAAAAACATTAAAACTGTAAATATCAAAGATGATCAGGTTGCAAAAATTCTGAAAGAGCACGAACCATAATTTAGGCGATAAATAATTTTTGAAAATGTAAATAGCTGCATGGTAAAAATCACTGTGATCATCAGGCTACATTTGTTGCATAAAACGTGCTGGGTCGGATCATCCAACTATTAGTGGGGTGAGATCACAAACTACACAGACTGCTCATGCACTCTGACTGGATAGGAAGAGTAGGCCTTTAGTGTCCCGGCACGCCATGCTACGGTTCCATGTAATTTTTCTCATGGCTGACATCTCACGGCTATTTGTTGCATTCAGGGGTTAAATTTTACAACTTTAAAAGAAATACTCCAATTTTAAACATAAAACATAACGTTTATGAATATTGTCTATTTTTAAAGATTTTGCATTTCCTATTCAAAGGATCCTTAAATATCCCTGAATACAGATGTCTCCTGATTGGTCGTGTACAGTACTTAAGTACACAATAGAACATGCTGTGGAAAATATCGCATATTATAGGTGTTAATCGATCTCTGTAACTCTCTTATCTCTGGGTGAGATTTAAACATTTACATGTACAACAACCCCCCCCCCCTTCTACTTTTTCTTTCAGTTTTTAACCTTTTACGGATATATGATTATTGATTTTTGGTTCAGGTTCAATCAAATTTGCAGATTATGACAAGACCGTTCTTTTCATGGTTAAATGGAAATTTCTCGTCAATTAATTAGAAAACCAATGATTTGACAACATTTACTCTGACAAAACTTGACCGAAATTTATAATGTACAACTTAGAGAGGGGGGGTTATGGGGACTCAGCTCCTCCCCCTCTCTCAGGCCCCAACGGATCCTGAGCCCCCACCCCCTGCACTTGAAAGAATAAAAAAATAAGCCCTTCTGGACAAATTCCTGAGAACACCCCTGGTCCCAGTTACATGATAATTTGTAAATAGAAATTTCAGCTTCCGTACTTACAAAACTTGTAAAATACCAATGAGAAATGCAAAACAGTGTGGCATTCTGATTTTAGCTAACTTGTCTTAAAACAAGAACTAAACAAAATATCCTAAAACTCGATTTTACCTGAACATTATTATGATTCGCAGCGCTTTAAAGTTATTGGGACAAAAAAATTTTCATTATCGAGAAGGGACAAGCCTATTTAGATTATATTTTGTCCCGAGCTTTAGCGAAATACAGAGAAAATTGACGACTAACACTATATAGCACGTCGTGCCAAAATAATAGTGCTATAGGTAATTTTATGTACCTGACTTATTGCAAAGGCTATTTCTGGATGAAATGAGCTTTTTATGAAACTATTGTGTACTTTATCATTCTTACTCAATTCATCGTGAATTTCATAATTACAAAGTTAAATTAGCTGTACATTAAAGCACGTGTGCTATAAAGTTTTGATTGGTTCCCGGATTTTTTTTTCAAAATTATGAAAATAAATTTGAAATCAACTTTATATTTTGACTTCTGCTTAGTTTCAAAGCTTATTTGACCTGGATCAAATTTTAGAGACATTATTGTTGTGACTTTGTGACCTAATAGCTCCTCAATTTCGATTTAATGAATAACGAGAAGTAGTGAATATTAAACCCGTATTTTGAACTCCAGTTCAAGCTAAATATATGTGGTTGAACTACGTCTACGCAGTTCAAGCTGAAAATAAATAGTTGAACCACGTCCAGGCAGTTCAAGCATGTCTCCCTATTCATTAAACCTGATCAACGAACTTGCAGAGTTCAGTCGAAAGAGAAGTAGTTAAACCACGTCCACGCAGTCCAAGCTGAAGAGAAGTAGTTGAACCACATCTACGCAGTTCAACCATGTCTCCCTATTCCTGAAATCTATTCCCTAGCTGAACCTGTGAGCGTACAGTTCAAGCTAAAGAGAAAAGGTTGATCTACGTCCACGGAGTTCAACCACGTCTTTTGAGCACCAGTTCAAGCTGAAGAGAAGTAGTTAAACCACGTCTGCACAGTTCAAGCTGAAGAGAAGTAGTTAAACCACGTCTGCACAGTTCAAGCTGAAGAGAAATAGTTAAACCACGTCTGCGCAGTTCAGGCTTAAGAGAAGTTGTTGAGCCCCTGTTACGCAGTTCAAGTTAAAGAGAATGGTTGATCCACGTCTACGTTGTTCCACCATGTATTCCATTCATTAAATCTGGTCCCTGAACATATTAAAGAGAAGTGGTGTACAAGCTGTACAATTCATGGAAGAAATTGAACCAAATATTTCGGCCCCCTTCCTGTATTAGTAGAACCCCATGGAGAAGGATGAATACACAGGAAACTTGATTGCAAACATAAACATGTACTGTAAACACTGTACACCGTACTGCAGTTTTCCCTGAGACCAGTTTAGGTCTCAGTTGACGAAAGTCTGCAGCCTGGTAAGTCAGAATTATTATTCAGGTGTATAATATACTAATTAAAGCCCATTTCGCAAAAATCGACGTTACAAGATTACATTTTCTATTCTTGATGTTTTCTCTAGTGTCAGGGTATAAAATACGTGGCCAATCGTCATTAATATCATTCTATTATTTAGAATCACAGGTAGAGAGGCAGAGAGGAGTGTTCCTCTCTCCCCCTCCATACTTCATCTCCCCGAGTCCTGAAGTTTGATGTATTGAAGCAATGACGACCTCGCCAACCCTCTTGGAAAGGTCATAGTCGATTTTATTGTTATCTTGTACTGAAATACATTATTGTACAAATTTATTGCACAATTTCTCTATCAGTGAATGCACTGAATTATTCTGATTTATTAAAGAGGTTCTTACATACAGAAAAGGTCCTCTCAAAACAAAATCTGGTCTATACGACAAACCTGCCAAGTTCAAGCTAAAGAGAAGTGGTTGAACCACATCTACGCAGTTCAACCATGTATTCCTATCTCCTTATATCTGGTCCCTGAACCTGTCGATTTCAAGCTAAAGAGAAGTGGTTGAACCACGTCTACGCCGTTCAGCCATGTAATTCCTATTTCCTTATATCTGGTCCCTGAACTTGTCGAGTTCAAGCTAAAGAGAAGTGGTTGAACCACAACTACGCAGTTCAACCATGTCTGGTCATTAAGCCTGTAGAGCTGGAGATGGAGATAGATAACCAGAAATTATCCCGGAAATATTTATTAACATTATACCTGTCAATATATATATATATAATTTACATGTAATTAATACTCTAGTATGGTTTCCACATCGCAATTATATTACAGGATCAATAAGTGTAAATAATAACAATGTAAAGGTTAAATTCCATTTTTTACAATAGAGTCCTTTTCTTCTTTGGAGTCCTTTTCTTCTTTGGAGTCCTTTTCTTCTTTGGAGTCCTTTTCTTCTTTGAAGTCCTTTTCTTTTTTGGAGTCTCTAAAATGTTCGCCGGAGCTCATACTTCGCTCCGACCGATCGATAACAGGTCTTGGCTTTTCTTTTCCATCTAATAAAAATATTTTTTTTTTTTAATTGCTGAGTAAGTGGAAATGAATAACTGTGGGTAAAATTTTGTAAAATTAACAGTACTTTCCAAGGTAATAGTATAAACAAACACATTTTTTTGGTATTTCCAAAATGCAGTCTGCCGTCTAAGATGGATTAAAAGGACTGAAAGCGTTATTTCAAGTGGCCCTCCATGCGAAGGTAACAATGCCCGATTCACAACGGTACCCTTGAAACATTTATCTGATGAATAGTATGGAAGAAGAAATACGCAAGTCACTTTAGTAGGGAACCCACAATGGAAAATAATAATTTTTCGATATTTTAAACATACAATATCCAATTCATACTTGATCAGAAAAAGCTTTAAAGGAAACAATTTTAAATCGGGCATTTCCTTTTTTCCCTGGAGGATCACTTGAAATTATGATTTTACAGTCCACAAACCACAAAAAAAACACTTCAACTTTTATATTTAGATTGTTGGTCCAGGGCTCAAGTATACCTAACCCACTTTGTACTACATAAAAACACCGCGGCGAGGAAACTACATTGAAATAATGTATCTAATATTATGGGGCAGATTTAAATAGACTGTTCCTGACTATTTAGATTGAACTCATCTATCTAAATAGCTGTACTAAGAAACATAAAATTTGTATGTCAAAATCAAATCAAATCATAAGTTGCAGGGATGGCCTAGGGCTCCATTTGTGGATCGGAGTTTCAAGTCCTCCCCATTCCTGGTTTTTTAGCCCTGGCCTTCTCTTTAACTAAATTCTGAGATATAAGAAAAATTGTCCAAAATGTTCTGCAGTTTTCCCGCAAAAGTAATTTCCCTAACTCTCATCACTGAATTATGTTATTTATAAAGAAGAATTATGTTCGAATCACAACGGTTCCCTTTACACCTCTATCCGAGTAAAAATTGGAAGATATCGTCGTTTTCTTTATCAAAACGTGTCCAATGTCCAATTCTCACAATTTTCTTTTATTTTCTCTTCAGCAAAACTCAGAAAGTTAATTTTATAGAGAAAACACAATGGCATATCGATATCAATCAATTTTTTAACTTTACACAAATAAAAATACCTTATTAATTCTTGATCAGACTAAGTTCAAAGGGTACCGTTGTGAATCGGATGTGCCACTATATAAGAGAAGGATCACTTGAAATTGCGTTTACGGTCCCTTTAATAAATATCTAATACCTGTATACTCTAAATGTACGGGCATTTCATCTCCCCAGTGGAGGAACTTAGATAAATGAAACAGATCTTTGTGTTTCTTATTACACATCACTTCCTGAATTACAAAATTATGCAAATATTTTTACTATGAAAAGTTATGTTAGTATAAAGAACAATTTCGTTGCGTAAAACTATTTTCAAAAAGGGCAATGTAGAAATTTTTTTTATGATAAGAATTTTTTCAGAATAAAAAAAACGCATAGAGTAGAATTTTTTTTTTTTTAAAGTGCACTGTTCAACAAAATTTGGACCAAAAATTTACATTTATACCTGTAACATCCCAGAGCCAGTACAAAGCCTACAGTAGAAATTATTCTTAGTTTTTAACGGTTCTTCTACTAATCTAGGGAACCTGAACCCCTCTCTTCTACCCTAGATTAATAAACAATTAGTTTTCAATGGTTCTTCAACTAATCTAGGGAACCTGAACCCCTCTCTTCTACCCTAGATTAATAAACATTAGTTTTCAATGGTTCTTCTACTAATCAAGGGAACCTGAACCCCTCTCTTTAAAAACAATTAGTTTTCAATGGTTGATTAACTATGGCGGTCGACGTTTATGTCATTACAATAATGACGACTTTCTACTTAAGCTTTGATTATTAACAAAATTAAATTATACCCATAACAATACCTAACCTAAATGTTTTGAGTACATTTTTATTCGATAGAATTTAATAAAAACAGTAATATTTCAACAACAAAGAATATTTTTCCGTCAATTGACAGCGTTCCTTTGTTCACATGTTAATATTTCCCTTCTATGTGAAAGCTTGGTATGAAATAAAACTTAAAATAGAAAGTCGTCTTCATTATGTAGCTAAAACGAAGACCCACTGCAAATAGAAAGTCTTTTCACCTTTTTAATAACAATATAGCTGAAGAGATCATTGTGAACATCCTCTGTTGAAAAGTAGGGGATATCAAACAAACTGATAAATACAAAATATTATTAAGTGATTTCCGGGTAAACTTTAAAAAGGTTGATAATGAAGATGTTTGCTCTCCTAACGATACCCCAAAACAAGGACAGGATCCATGCGATCATCTAATAAATTAGTTTTAATCCCGTCTGGCTCAAAAAGCATGTTGCCTTATATAAACTGTGCACTGTATAAATATGAAAAAGAAATCTTAATTAATCTCCGTTTGTAGTGAGAGTACATGACTAACTTATCAATAACTAAACCTATTTGAGGCAAGCAAGAGGGAGTTCTATCCCCCGGCCCCACACAAAAAAAAATAAAAATAAAAATGTTACGCATTGCATTGTTCCCTTGCGGAACCAATTTCATGAAAACACTTCAGTAATTTGGGTTGCAAATCGTTTTGGCTCGGTGTTGAGGGTTTGCGAGCTTCTAGAAGATTCAAAAAAAAGTATTTCAATCTTCATGGTTATTAATTATAAACGTTTGCTTTTCTTAAATTATGCCAAATTTTAACAATGAGAGAAAGTATATGCAAAAGACTAACCAAAAATGTCAAATGATTGTTTTTTAACAAAAGTTTTTGGTCCGTTTTCCCTTTATATTTCCTCTGATGATAAAAATATTGCAGATTAAGGAAACTTTAGCATAATAAACTTTTAAGTTTTAATGTTGGAAGTATTATTAAAAGTCTACTTACAGTGGTTACTACTTCTACAAATGTAAAGCAAGATGTTAAAATGCTATTAATCGGTCCATTTATTTTTAAAGTTCGGTTCATTTAAGAGAAAAATACATGACTTTACTATTCCGCGTAGAACATTTTTTACAATTTTGTATAATATCATATTGCAGCTTTATTTTTTATCCAGGTTACGTGTAAATATTTTAATCCCTGCCCATCAGAATAAGAATATTTTATTTAATGAAATTATCATTTTTTGTTCAAAACAGAGAAAAGAGAGTTACAGAGATCGATTTTCAGCTAAAATATGCGAAATTTTCCACAGCACGTTCTATTGTGTAAAAGTACTGTACACGACCAATCAGCAAACATCTGTAATCAGAAATATTTAAGGATCCTTTGGATACGAAACACAAAATCTTCAAAAAAAAGACTGAGTTCATAAATGTCATGTTTCATGTTTAAAATTGGAGTATTTCTTTAAAAGTTGTAAAACTTAAAACCCTGAATGGGTATTATGTTCAACAAGTCGCCGTAAGATGGCACTCTGAAAACCTATCGTAAAAACGTAGCATGTCGTTCCGGGTCAACTTAGGCCTACGTAACCCACCCTGTGAAAGGAGATAAGCAGTCTGTGTAGTCTGTGGTTAAAAATTAAGGAAACAAAACAGTTTTTTCCCCAGCAGCAATCAAATAAAGAATACATAGCTTTTGATTTTAATATCTGAATGAGATTAATGCTTTTTGTATGGTATCATGATGGTATCTAGTACAAGGATATATACCTGTATTTAACAGAGAAATCACAAGGTACAGTATCATGATGGTATCTAGGACAAGGATATATACCTGTATTTAACAGAGAAATTACAAGGTACAGTATCATGATGGTATCTAGTACAAGGATATATACCTGTATTTAACAGAGAAATTACAAGGTACAGTATCATGATGGTATCTAGGACAAGGATATATACCTGTATTTAACAGAGAAATTACAAGGTACAGTATCATGATGGTATCTAGTACAAGGATATATACCTGTATTTAACAGAGAAATTACAAGGTACAGTATCATGATGGTATCTAGGACAAGGATGATTATGTGGACAAGGAGCCAAAACTTCTCCTTTCTTCTCGTTATCCACAATACCATCCCTTTCATCAGCCTCACAAAGCTTGAAATAAAAACACACTTTTATATTAATCATACCGATTTTTAATCACCAATTTTTTACTATCATTATTATCCTTATTATGATTGTAATAAAAGTTATAATTATTATATTTGTTATTATTGTTATCATATTTATTATTGTTGTCACTGTTATCAATATTTTCAGTGTTATCATAGCGTACATAGTATTATTAGAATTATCATCACCATTATTATAATTATTGTTACTATTTGAATTTGATCATCATTATCATTGTTTTCATTACTATCATTACTATCATCATTATCATCTATTGAGAAACAGTTGCAATAAGATCTGCACTAAATCCAAATTTCAGAAAAGACAATGCTTTAAAACAAAATTAAGTTCAAGTCATGTTTATTTCTATATGTAAGCTTGTTTTTTATATCAAAATTTTAAAATTAAAATATATTATTGTTATTACCCTGAGAAGAAAATCTCTAGCTTCAGATATGATTTGAAATCCTGCATTTGTTCCCTGTTCGACTAGAACCATACAGCCACCCTCTTCCAACCTGGAAAAGAAGGGGATGTATTTTCTGAATTACCCCCCACCCCCAATTTACTCCCAATTTGAACAAATGGGGGGAAGATTTTAATTTTAGAAAGGAAAAAAATTATTAATGGTACAATACATTTCATTATCATAAGTATCATTTATTTCAGTATTGTCAGTATTATCATCATTATCTTTTTCTTTTATTTTCAAATAACAAAAATGAAAATAGTTTCTTTCTGAAAACTTTTTTTTCGGGGTCCATAGTTTTTAATAGTTGATATCGTAGTTCGTAAAAAATAACCAAAAACTTGGGTTTGTTCTCGATTCCGAGTCTAATTTCAAACCGATTTCCAAGATTAGAATAATAAGATCATACAGATAGACATTTCAAATTCAAGTTATGCCACTCCATAAATGAAATTTAAGGATCACATAAAATTACTTTTTATCACCTTTCCCAGAGTGAATGAACAATATCCAGTCTCTCGAGGGACCCCTTGACCTCCATGAGGGTGTAGGCGGACAGGCAGAGGTCGTATTTCAAGCTAAACCATTTCAATTTATAATCGCATTTCAACAACCCCTTCCAAGAGGTATAATTTTCATTAAAAAAATTGGAAAACTTGAGAAACTTGAACTAAATTAAAATTTCTACTTCTTTACTTCCCCCCCCCCAAAAAAAAAACTATTTTTTTTCAAACAAAAAATCATCCAAATTCCTAAAAATTGACGTTCATTAATAAAAAAGTAGAAAAGTTAAAAACTTAAATATTATTTTGTAGGATCCCAGGACCCATGATAGTATAAATTAATAAGTGTTAAATACATGAATGAATATTAGCTAGTACAGCTTAAGTTTAATTTAAATAAGCATGAATGTAAGAAACTATAAATAAAGGTAAATTAGTATTCAAATTTTTAGATATTGAAAAGAAATTTACCTGATTGTTTTGGGAGCTTTCAATCTAAAGTTGATCCCCTTCGGTAAAGGAACATTCTGTACTCCTGAAAATTCAGTCTCAAACTATAGAAACGGTTCAAAAACAGGGGCGGATACAGGAGGGGAGGCGGCAGGACCTTTGCACCCCCCTGAGATTTCCGATTCGCTTGAAAACCTGGTGCAAAACAGAAAAAAAATATATATCTTAAACAAAAAATGTTCACCTCCGACATGTCATTTGGTTCCTACATCTGGATTTTTTGTTCCGAAATAAATATAGCACCCCCCCCCCTCTCACTTAAATCCTGTATCCGCCCCTGTTCAAAAACATATTTTCAATCTTTTTCTTTGTCATTCCTGACGTTAAAGGGTTTTTATTTTTAATTATGAAGAAATTTAAATTTTTATAATTTTTATATTATAGTAGTAATTACCTTGTTGAATAATATTGGTGGCGAGATCATTCATATCTGTAGAGGGATCAACACAAAACATCTATTTACACAAATATTCCATACAGGCTACACTTCATACAGGCTGCAGTTCAGTTTATACAGGCTGCAGTACACTTTATACAGGCTACAGTTCACTTTATACTTGCTACAGTACACTTCATACAGGCTGCAGTACACTTTATACAGGCTACAGTACACATCGTACAGGCTGCAGTACACTTTACACAGGCTACAGTACACTTTACACAGGCTACAGTACACATCATACAGGCTACAGTACACTTTATACAGGCTGAGGCTGCAGTACACTTCATACAGGCTGCAGTACACTTTATACAGGCTACAGTACACTTTATACAGGCTTCAGTACACTTTATACAGGCTACACTACACATCATACAGGCTGCAGTACACTTTATACTTGTTACAGTACACATCATACAGGCTGCAGTACACTTTATACTGGCTGCAGTACACTTTATACAGGCTGCAGTACACTTTATACAGGCTACAGTTCACTTTATACAGGCTGCAGTACACTATACACAGGCTACAGTTCACTTTATACAGGCTGCAGTACACTTTATACAGGCTACAGTACACTTTATACAGGCTTCAGCACACTTTATACAGGCTGCAGTACACTTTATACAGGCTACAGTTCACTTCATACAGGCTACAGTTCACTTTATACAGGCTGCAGTACACTATATACAGGCTACAGTTCACTTTATACAGGCTGCAGTACACTTTATACAGGCTACAGTACACTTTATACAGGCTTCAGTACACTTTATACAGGCTGCAGTACACTTTATACAGGCTACAGTTCACTTTATACAGGCTGCAGTACACTATATACAGGCTACAGTTCACTTTATACAGGCTACAGTACACTTTATACAGGCTTCAGTACACTTTATACAGGCTGCAGTACACTTTATACAGGCTACAGTTCACTTTATACAGGCTACAGTACACTTTATACAGGCTTCAGTACACTTTATACAGGCTGCAGTACACTTTATACAGGCTGCAGTACACTTTATACAGGCTGCAGTACACTTTATACAGGCTGCAGTACACTTTATACAGGCTGCAGTACACTTGATACTTGCTACAATTCACATTACACATCAAATCATTAAAAAAAATATTTTTTCAAATGACGACACATTTTTACACTTTATATTTATAGAATTGTGCCTCAGTTAGTTTTCCGAATACAGTGTTGGCTGCCCAGTATCCCGTACATAGTCCGGACCCATGGTCGAACAATGTCCGGGGTTTGAAGTTTGGTTCAAGTCGAGAGATCTCACGGAATATAGTTACCAGGACAGCGTACTCGGCAGGGGTTCTTAACAATTATGATTTTAAAATGCAGGCACATATTTGATCTCCCATCCCCAGTCCCCACCCCCCTTACTAAAAAAAAGCATAGTTTAAAAGCTAAGCTTTGGAGAAAAATTGAATTTTAAGATTGTAAGTATTTATTAAGAATTCCATTTAAAAAAAACAATTGAAATACAAAATTACCTTGCTACAAGATAGGAAAATGCACAATTTTTATCAAAATCTACTGGAGCCCAGCGCTGTAGGTGAATCTGAAAAATGTTCAAGTAATATTTCTAATACATAGTCGGGGGAGGTGGAGGGTTAATAAATAATTATTTTTTACCTTTTCAAGTTTCGACTGACGAGTATTATACAAAACAGCTCTGGAAACAAGATCAATTATTCAATAGATCACTCAGCAAACGAAATAATCCAATAATTCAATCAATCAATCAATAAATGATTTCATTTATTAATTTCCAATCGCTCATTTTAACAATCAATTCAAATCAAATTCTTCATTCATAGATAAATAAATCATTCAATAAATTAATCATTCCATAAACCAATTATTTAATTAAGTAAATAAATTCATAAATCAATTATTCATTAGATCAATCGTTCAATAAATTACTTCAAAAAATGAATAATTCCATTGATTCAATTGCTAATGAAATAAATCATTCAGTAAATGAAACAATCAATAATTTATTTATTCATTTATTTATTTATTTATTTATTTATTTATTTATTTAACTTCTAAAGGGAGAGTTCTAGATTTTAAATATCTGGATAGTTTGAGCCCAGCCGGGAACAGAGTTGGGATCCGTGATTCTTCTTCATAATAAATAAGTTCCAAAGCTTTCCTACATTCATTTTATCATTTTAAAGGGACTGTAAGCGTAATTTCAAGTGAGGGCACATAAAATTACGCTTATAGTCCCTTTATTAATTTTTAAAATTATTAAAATTTTCCCTCTATATAAATATTTTTGGCTTCTCCGCAAGCAGTAATATCTGGAAAATTTTAAATTTATAAAATGTACAAAAATATGTTGGCACGGAAAGTTGAATCAGGGATGCAACATTTAAAAGCTAAACTTAAAAAAACTTAAATTTTATTTTTACGCTTCAATTAAAGCTTTAAAAAATGCTCAACTTATAAATGTACTTGGGAACCCAGTTTTAACTGGACACTGTACTTTACCTAAAAAAGTGAACCCACTGAATTTAGAATCTTTAAACCCATCTAAGAACATTTCTATAGTTCTTCCGTGTTTCCCAATCAAATTTTAAACAAACCAGTTAAGGGGTTTCTAAGTTATGATCGGATATACAAACAAACATACAGAGATTATTCCTTTATATATATTATATATATATGCTATATTAACGTTGATACCTTACGGAGTAATTAAATTTCTCAGAAGGTTGAATAACTGGCTGGGCTCGTTTCCTGTTTCCGGTTCCTACAACTGAGGGATCCAACCTACCAAAAAAAATATTTTGAAATTATGTTAGTGAGAAGCATAAAATTTTGTAATTAAGATTTGTTGGTATTTTCAGGGCTGAAAGCGAATTCTTAAACCAATTTGGCCTGAAAATCCTCTAAGGGAGAAAATTTGTGTTTCCGAAATTGATACAATTTCAAGGTATTCTCCTTGGATCAATATATGTTGAAAAAAGCGTAAAATCTTGTGGGCGTCAAAACATTTAAACGAGCGTCACCACATTTTAACGAGGGTCACTTTTGCTAACATAATTTTTGCTGTATACACATTTTCTATAACTTTTTAACTTAGAAAAAGGTTGTTTAGAAAAGGCGTAATGCAAATCCATAAATGAATGAATAAATAAACAACCAACCTTGACTCCATCGAAATCTAAGTATAAAGAAAACATCACGGATAGCAAAAAGGCGCTAACATGAATAACTCAAGCCAACTTATCGTGGCCCCATCTTGTAATAGGTTTACCTTGGAAGAGGTTTGTTCTGACTATTGTAGATTAAACTTTTATCCCGATCTAATCGCTGAATAAATTTTCTTTTCAAATATTTTCAAAATAGGAACTTCACAATTTTTCAATATTCTTCTGGTTTATGATTAACCTTGTCTTCAAGTTTATGATAAACCTTGTCTAGTTATAGTAAACATTGTCTAGTTTACAGTAAACCTTGTTTAGTTTATAGTAAACATTGTCTAGTGCATGGTAAACCTTGTCTAGTTTGTTGTAAAACTTGTCTAGTATATGGCAAACATTGTCTAGTTTATGGTAAACCATGTCTAGTTTATGGTAAACCTTGTCTAGTTTATAGTAAACCTTGTGTCTAGTTTATGGTAAACCTTGTCTAGTTTATGGTAAACCTTGTCTAGTTCATGGCAAACATTGTCTAGACCATGTCTAGTTTATGGTAAACCATGTCTAGTTTATGGTAAACCTTGTCTAGTTTATGGTAAACTTTGTCTAGTTTATGGTAAACCTTGTCTAGTTCATAGTAACCCGTCTCTAGTTCATGGTAAACTTGTTCATGTTAATTTGGTCAAATTCGTGTACATAGAGAATAGAATATATAGAGAGGAATTAACTAGAAAAAAGTGTAAAACGGCCATTTTGTTGTACTGTTTCCATACTGCAGATGTACTTCTCATATTTGTGCTATATAACCTTTTGGGCCCTGGAACATCATTTTATACAAAAATTTTCTTGAAAATTATTTGATTTTCTGTAAGTCAATTCTCTGATAGCCTATCATGCACACGTGGATAAAAATCAATCTAAATTTTTTTTTTCATTAAAAACCATATTCCCATAATTGTTGCCTGCAGGTAATCAAAGAGGGAAACCCAATATAATAGAAATATTCAAGATATCAACATATGGTTCAACTTTTTTTCCACCAAAATTGAGGATGGAGATAAACTTAATATTTTAAATTCATTTTACACAGTTGGACCCATAAAACTCTGGAAGAGAAGGTCGAAATTTAAATATGTTTCATGTTTGATGGGTTAGTTAAACTTGTAGCTTGAGTCTAAACACAGTTAAACAAACTGTTATACTTTGCGTACCCATAAAGATCAAAAACTATTTATTTTACAAGATTTTGGTGCTCCCTAAAATGTGAAGGACCACTTATGAAAAAACCACTGCAGACACTGTGTAACTGTAGAGTTTGGAGGAAATTTAGAGACAACTGACAGTACAGAATTAGTTTAGTCTTTCTCTTCAATTCAAAATTTTTTTTAACTAAATGTTTTGAAAATAAAATCTAAAATTAATATTAAAAAAAAACAAATTATGAAATAGGGTGATTTCATAATTGAGTAATTTACCAATGATCATTTCACATAGACTTTCACTTTACTAACGATGATTTTCCGTTATAACTATAAATCAAATCATGTTTTTTATTCACCTAATTCAAATTATAAAGTTTATTTAACAGCTTTAAAAAATTCGAAATTGAAATGGATGGTCTAGGGAACATACTGTATTAATGTACTTTACTGCATATAATTTGTGAACATTTACATGATTCGTACACTTTGAACTCCCTTTCAGGCTGAAAGGGACTGAAAAAATTCATACCGAGAGATTCTTTTAATTCCTCTCTATACATTCTATTCTCTATGTTCGTGTACCATGAAAGGTAGATTTTGTCATTTAAGTGATCAAATTCCTCTAGTTAGTAAATGCATGAACTTTTATTTAAATTAAGGATTTTACTGGAATAAGAAAATAAGTTCCTTGGACGTTGAAAACGTGAATTTGTGTACAAATAGATTTTCTTGGCCGGGTCCAAACCCAAACCTGGGAACAGTCTCTTGTATCAATCCACTCCCACATCTTAAACGATTAAACATCTGAAATTATAACAAAATATTTACAAATCGTTTATTTGAGATTATATAATAGTATATTTCAAAATTTAGGGTACATTTCATAGGCGTCATTTGTAAACTACATGTACTAATGAGTTGTACAAAGAATATGAACAGATAATAATGAAAATTACATCGTGTTTGTCATGTACAAAAAGGTCATATTAATTAGATCATATTTCAAGAGTAACAGGGGTTCGTTGCTTTTTTTATACGTTTAATTTAGTCTAAAATATCAATACAGAGGGCCCAAATAGGAGAAGTTATATTCTTTTCAAATAAAAAAAAACTGAAATTCCTGAATCTAAGAGAAAATCATTTTTATGTTGAAAATTGTAAGTCTCCAAATTATTAAAAATTCTTATAGAATTTGACTGAAAAACTAGGGGAAACATTATTTTATGTTTATGCTCTGGGGTTGAATGGATCACAATGTGAAAATGCATTTATGAGCATTAAAAACGAAGAAAAATAACAATATAAGAGTTCAAAAGAGAAATAAAATAATACAAAAGTAGAAAAACGAGTAAATTAATACATTAACAATAACTAAATGGCGAACAAATATGCACAATAGAGGACTAAGAGATATGTTCAGATATATTTTATAAATCCGAGCTTGCTCCGATGAAAAAGCAGGGATAAGCATTTTTTAAAACTTACAGTCATAAAAATATGACGGCAAAATCTCAAAATCTTTTCTCCCGCATTTTCTTTGAGCTTAAGACTGGTTTCAGCCTAAAGAATATGGTACATAAACAGTGGAGCAGTACAGTACAGACTGTACAAAGGTGTTTACTGAGTCATGGATTTTCGAGGATTTGTTTTCAAAGATTGGCAACTATTCCTCCATGGGTTGGTTAGAACCTGGTAGAACTCTAGGATACAAACCTAGTAGGTTTCTAGGAATATACCCTTCTCTTCCTTCCTCTAGGTCCATCCTAGACCACCACCATTCCTTCTCCACCTCATCCCCCTTCCTCAGCACAATCATCCGGTCTGTGTCACGGAACGAGAGCTCGTCTTTGTTCATAGCGTCGTAGGTGTAGACAGCATAGACAACACCGTCGTTGATAATTCCAAGTTTCTCCTGGATATGATAAAGATACTCGGAGCAACCGTCGAACCCTTCCTCGTCCTCCTCGCATTTCTCCGCAGCTGTCTCGTGATCGGAGAGTGTTGTCGCAAAAATGCATGCTCCGTGCTCCACCAAGAACCTAACCATAGCAAGGTTGTTGCAGGACGCAGCGCAGTGAAGTGGTGTCCATCCGTCCGAGTCTTGGGCATTTACATCACATCCAAACAAAACCAAGAACTGAACAATCTCCAGGTGTCCGGCACAGATTGCATTGTGGAGCGCAGTAATACCTTCGTCGTTAGCTGCGCTAGGGTCGGATACTTCAGAAGCAGTTTTCTTAACAAGATCAAGTTCTCCCTCCAAGGATGCATCAAGAAGAAGAGCAAGCGGATCGAAGCTAACCTTCCTGTTGTGTCGGGTCTTTCCGGTGATCTTGACATTTCCGGCTTTAGACTTCTCAATGATACTCTTATACCCCTTACTCTGAGCACTGGTTACTGGATCGTTTTCAAACTCTGGAACAGTTTCGGTTGAGTATTCATCCGATTCTTCTGGGCTCCGGGAAAACAATTGTTCCTTCTCCTCGAACCCGAGGTCCTGGAACTCCTTGTATATCTGGTTCACCATTGGGAACATCGCCGCGTTGTCCGTCACGTCCCTCGGAAGCATTGGGTACTCGGCCCCAGAGATGAGATCACTGGGTGGAGCTTCGTCCTCTGGGAAGTGGAAGGCAGGCGGCATTTCAATCCTTCTGTTCATGGAAACATGTACGCCGGAGTCAATACTAGTTGCAGTGGATACCATTAATCCGGAGCCGTCCATATTTGTTGTCTGGGAGACAGATATGGAAAGATCCCGGTTTCCTCCGTTGAGATGAAGACTTTCCGGAGTCGGAGAATCCGACGGAGGTTCCGTGGTCGGAGGAGGTGGCGGTAGATCTTCATCATCTACACTTGTTCCTTCATCTCCATGCACCGGTCCAGAAGCATTCTCTGACCCGCCAGCCGCCATTACCGGTTTAGGCGGTAACGCCGGTCGTAATTTAGTTGGCGAATCTTGTCCTGATCTGTCATAACCAGCGGATACGGGCGTAGATGAGAGGGTTGGCGTAGACGGGTTTATACTATTCGAGGAGGTGGGACTGAACATATTTCTGTTAGAGTTGGTGAATACTGGCGCAACAGAGGAAACAGGTTTAGAACTGGGACCTCCGCTAGATATGGCATTATCTGTTTGTGGCAGGGGCGCAACAACCCCTATACCTTGGCCGTAGTTTCCCTGGTAATCCGTGCCCCTGGGCCCGTAGACCTGGGGTGGAGGCCGGGGCAGTGCCTCAGAGAACCCGATATTATTGTTCTCCTTCTCAAGTTTCAGCTGCTCAATCTTCTGCGCTTTGGCGTTATTGAGCTGGCTGAACTTAGTATTGTAGGGCAGAGTCTGATATTTAGGATCTATATTCTTGTTTTCCAAGTTCTCCAGGCTTAGGTTAGGTTTAAGATCCTCTGCACTTACATGATGATTATCCATCTGTTGTTGGTTCATTGTGCGCTGGAACGGTTCCACAGTTGAAACCGGTTTAGTCTTGTTTTTGTTTACAAGGCCGGCCTGGATAGCTCGAAGCTGCGCCTGCTTGGCGCTTGTTGCCGCATTTATTTGATTTGCGAGCTGCTGGTTCATCATTCGCTTGCGAGTCAACCGATCCTGAAGCTCCGCAATTCGTCTATCGATCCGCGCCATCTCTTCCTGACCGCTAGATAGCTGCGCGCGCTGCTGAGAGATCATGTTGTTTTGCTGCTCGTTCAGTTGACGCCTATACGCGAGCTCGCGACGAAGTTTCTCTAGTTCGACGACCTGTGGCGGGTAATTATAGTTGAGTTTACCAGTTCTTAACTCCTCGAGCTGACGGGTCAAATCATCAACCTGGACAAACAGAAAAAATTTAGATGTACATAAAATAAGTTGGAAATAACCAATATAGAAGTAAACATAAAAAATATAACGAAAAGAAATATATAAATAAACAAAAAATAGAAATAAATAGAAAAAGAAATTGAGTCTCTGTCACAAACTCAAATGTTCTCATCTCATATCTTTAAAACCGGATAGTGAGACCGTTTGATATTTCAAACTTAGATTATTTGATCTCACATAATTCATAGTTTGAAATATCTAAGGTCTACGACATTGGGTTGCGAAGATATTGGGATTAGAAAATCAGAGTTTGTGACAAAGACTCAATTTCTTTATAATGAATTGATTTTGTAAAGAAAAAAATTTTACATAAAAAAGGCAAAAAATATTTGATTAAAATTAAGATTTAATGACGAATTGATTGGTCATTTGTTAATATGATTAAGCTCAGCAAGAAATCTTTAAAAGGAAGTATAATTTGATAAAAATAAAATAAAAATTGCCCGATTAAGTAAATGAATCAATAAAAAACGTATTGATTGATAACTAAAAACCAACAAACCTTGGTGACGGCCATGGCGAGCTCCTTTTCCTTCTCATTGAAGACCCTCCTGATGGACTCCAGGTCGTTTGTCAGGCTATTGTTGTTAGTTTTACTGATGAGCTCGGTCTGTCCACGCATAGCACGCAGTTTACGCAACTTTAGTTCCTGGGATTCAACCTTCTCACGTAGCCTAGGCACAAAATAATATTCATTTTCAAGTGTATAGGTAGATAAAGGGGAAAATAATTTCAAGAATAATATATTGGGAAATTGATGTTTTTTGACAATGGACATTTTAGTCGTATTTATTTTTGATTTTTCTAAATAAAAATAAAAATTGATATTGGATATATATATATTATATTGTAAACTAACTTATATATACTCATATATATATATATATATATATATCATGAATTAAAGGGAGTGACCGGCTATGTAAGGTAGTTCACACTTTGCACAATTTATATATGTACATAAAACTTATAATTAATTTTTATTCTTTTAAAGGGAGTGACCGGCTATGTAAGGTAGTTCACACTTTGCACAATTTATATATGTACATAAAACTTATAAATTTTTATTCTTTTAAAGGGAGTGACCGGCTATGTAAGGTAATTGAACTGGGTATGCAGTGATGTCGAAAACTTCTTTAGGATTCATTTGAGACATTTTTCACTTTTTAAAGATCTGTAAATCCTGAGTTTGAGCGCAAATTCGACGTTCAAAACTCCTGATTTGGGGGTGGATACGCTTTCAGAATTAGTTTTTTAAACGCCGGGATTTTCTTTTGGTTGTTCAAGTGAATAAAAAATAAAAGAAGATAAAATGCGAATAATCTCATTTTGCCTCCTCCTCTTCTCCACTCCTCCCCATCTCCCCTCCTCAACTCTTTCGAAAAAATCATTCTTCACGTCAAAGTCATGTAAAGATTAGAGAAAGCCAAATTACAGAAGATGATTTTTTTGTACTTTACTTTAAAACAATTCATCAGAAAAAACTACCTTCTTAATTTTTCGTATTCTGTTGACATATGATGCTGCTGAAACTCCTGCTGCTTTAAATATTTGAGGCGCTGCTCCTTAGCAACCAGGAGCTGCTGCTGCTGATCAATCTGCTGCTGCTGACGACCAGCCATCTCTCTAAAATACGAGAAAAAAAATAAATAAAATAGGTAAAAAATCGTGGGATAAGATACCAAAAACAAAGAAAAAGAAGGAAAAGTGAAAAAAAAACAAAGATTTATTTAAAAAACAGTCAAATCAAATCGTAAAGTTTCTTTTAATACTCTCAGGCGGAAGTGGGAGGAGGGGGGTTGAGGGAGGAAGGAGTGGAGGGAGGAAGGAGTGGAGGAAGGGGGTGGGGGGGGACTAACCTGAGTTGGTCAACTGAAGGCTGGGTAGTATTCATGGTATTCTGCCCCCCATCATGCATTATCTCCCTCTACCTCTAACATTGCAGGAATCTGAAATATTTCAAAAATAAATCTCTTGTGAAATAATTAAAGTTTTATCCAAATTTCTCACCCATTTCATCTACGTTGGACAGCATACATTTTGTTTTTTCTCTTTAAAATGAACAAGCAAGAATTTATTTATCTAATAATAATCATAAATACATGAAAAAGTTTTTAGACTTGATGATAATTGTTTACTTTCAAGCTTAAGACGTTTTTCTTTAATTAGAAATTATTAAGCTATTTTTTGTGTATTTCTTCGATTTTTTTTTCTGTCCGTCCCCCTTCTTCAGGTAAATTTCTTAAAAGTGTAATAAAACCAATATTTAAACATATAATTGGCGTTAAGTAAAAAAAGTGAAAGATATATGTTTGTTTTTATTTTTCACAGATCCGTATAACATTTTCCCAAAAAAGTTATTGTTATTATATTTATTTAATCGAAAAAATGTATTCATTCATCAATTGTCCACCACCCGCCCGCTTCCCCTTCATTTAGGTTTGGTTTAATAAAGGTGTAATTAAAACCATTCATAAATAAAAATTTTCAAAGCTAATTAAATCTAATCAATTCGAATTATAATTAATTACATATTTCTTTTATCAGATCTTTTAAATTCTAACTTTTCTGTTATTTTCACAATTTCAATATTAAAAAATCTTTTTATTTCCCCAAATATCATGATCCTATGTTATCTTAATGTACTAACTATAGCCTGTATTATACTACTAATACGATATAATTACATTTGATACGAAGTTAACAATACTTTCTCATTTAAATCAGGGGAAAGGATGCAAAAGTGGCATTTAAATTTTTTAAATTTTTTAAATTTTTTTATCATTTGTTGAATTTAAAATATATAATTTATAAATGAACATTAATATATAATTGTATGTATAATATCCCTGTTTAAAAGGAAAGCTGTATCACTTAAACTATGAATGTTATTTACTTTATAAAGAAATGATGTCAATACCGCAACTGAGGATTTAAGACTTTTCCTAATTCAAGCTTTCCAAGTCACGGCCCACGGGGCATTTCTTAATTACTTGCTTTCCTCCCAAACAACAAAGAAATAGAAATTGAACTTAAGGAACTGTGTCTGTAGACATAATTTCGACCCTCCATTTCTCGAGTGTCATTTTCGATTCACGATGATACTCTTACAAGCTTCGACTGATCAAAGAATATATGAGATATTCAGTCTTGATTTCTTTAAATAATTGTTATTTGGGATTGTGGAAATTATGAGAATTAAAGAACTGTCAACGCAGCGTATGAAATCAAGCCATAATTCAACAACAATTTCTTTTCATTTTGGTAAAGTTATTCAAGACTACTCCGATTAATGGATAGAGGGGTCCACGCCCCCTTCTTTGAGGACAGCCCCTGACAGTCTCAACTGATTTCTCGTGAATGATTTTTCGAAAATATATATTTTGACCGTGATTGTTCCAAAGTGGTGAACTGTGACACTGTCCACAAAATATACCTGAAAATCACTCAAACGCTTAAATATGTCATTTATCAACTTTGAACAACATGTCGTCATTATTTATCTTCTAATCTATTTTACGAAATTGATCTCTACAACTCCTACAACTGTACTTAGGGAGAAGAAGAGGGGGAGGATGAAACAATAAGGGGACAACAAATTTTAGAGAATTAATATTTAAAACTTGATATCTTCTTGGTTTATAGAGTTAATACATAAACTCACCCCCCCCCCAAGGAAAATCGTCGACGATCGACGAATTTTCAGACTTTCATTAATTTTACCTGAAAACATATATTTCCGGAGGATTTATTGAATAGAAGTAGTTAAATTAGGTAGATTAAATTGAACCACAAGACAACCTGGTTGAACGGGACAGTGCGTGGTTCAACTATTTTTCGATATTCATAATTTCTATCAAATGCAGGGCCATATTTTTCAGATTTTCAGATTTAGATTTGAAATACATTAAGTTTAAGTTCACAGTAGACAAACAGGAAAAAAGTTAGAATATAAGTAAGGAAACAAACCCCCCTCCCCCCCCCCCCCCCCCGCCTATGAATTTCATACATGGATCTCATATGAAACACATGGATATGATTGACCAAATGGCCGCAGCGCCCGGCCCCCAAGTCTGTCCTAGCCGAAGCGCTCGGCCCCCTAGACTGTCCTATCCGCAGCGCTCGGCCCAGAAATTCTCTGAACCTAACCTAACTCTAAAATAATAACAATTTTGCTGAAAAATAAGTGATCATGTACAAGATTGATAGGAGGGGGGGGGGGGGGCCGATCTCTAGGACAGACCCCAAGAAAATGTCCGTTGCACTTTTGGTCAAGATATATCACTTTTCTTTCTTAAAAATTATAAACTGAAATGCATGATTCACTCAAAAGAAAAAAGCAGGAGAGAGATTTTAAGTTTAAAGAGGTTTTAAGTGAAAAAACGGGTAAATTCCTAAAGAACGATTTTTAAACTCCCGCCCCCTGCCCACCCCTATAAATTTTTTACAAGGATCTTATATGAAAGACATGGGATATGATTGACCATGTGGCCACAATGTGGCCCCTTAGTCTGTCCTAGCTGCAGCGCTCGGCCCAGGAATTGTCTTATACCTAACCTTACCCTAAAATAATACAAAATAAATATTAATAATTTTGCTGAAACATAAGTGATCATGTACAAAATTGATAGGAGGGGGGGGAGGGGGGCACGGGGGGGTCCAAAAATCGTTCACTAGGACAGACCCTGCCTGTCCTTGCCGCAGCGCTCGGCCCCCCCTAGTCTGTCCTAGCCGCAGCGCTCGGCCCCCTAGACTGTCCTATCCGCAGCGCTCGGCCCCCTAGACCATCCTAGCCGCAGCGCTCGGCCCCCTAGCCTGTCCTAGCCGCAGCGCTCGGCCCCCTAGTCTGTCCTAGCCGCAGCGCTCGGCCCCCTAGCCTGTCCTAGCCGCAGCGCTCGGCCCAGAAAGTGTCTTAACTAACCTAACCCGTGGCCGCAACGCTCGGCCCCCTAGCCTGTCCTAGCCGCAGCGCTCGGCCCAGAAAGTGTCTTAACCTAACCTAACCCTAATTAAATACTAATCTAATTGAAAATTGTTGAGTAAGTTACCATGTACAAAATTGATAGGAGGGGGGGGAGGGGGGCACGGGGGGGGGTCCAAAAATCGTTCTCTAGGAATATACCCAGACCCAAAAACGACGTTTGCTGTGAATTTTATAAAACAATTAAATGGGGAATTATAACAAATAAATCACCAGATTTTAAATGGCACGAATGACAGTTCAGTTTCTTCTACTTTGCATTTAATTATTTAAGACAAAACAAGTTTACTATTCAAGCAATTTGATTAAAAATGTAAGTAACAATTTTAATTCAAGTTTTTATCACTTTCTTGTAGCTTAAGCAAACTGATTTAAGAAAAATCATAGAGCTTAAAACTACCACATTCACGTATCACTGATCATATTCATTTGGGAACTATCCAGCCTTTAACCTAACATGAATCACTTATTCCTGTTTTGTAAACAAATATTAACCATGTTTAGCAGTATATTATGGTTTGCAACCAGGTAGGCAGGTAGATACTTAACAATTCTCACACTCAGCACCAACTCCACCAACCCTGCCCAAGGATAAACTTTCAGTTTTTCCAGATTTTAGTTCAAATATCGCCCGCCAGTCTACTAAAGACGACCTAACCGCTCAGTCTCCAAAAAAATATTTTTAGAAATTAAGATCTGTATATCTTCATAAGCAGAAAAGACGTGACGATTTTTATTTAATGTTGTAACGGACAAAGGTAGATAGTTTAATTAGCAAAATATTTTCAAATTGTCATTTTCAAACAGATATGGAGGGATTATATATATTATTTCAATAATTATTTTTTTATTTTACGATCAGAGCTCTTAAATTTTCTCAGGATCAGGAGAGTCAGGATTCATGATCGCTAAATTGCAAAACAGGGTGGACTTCTTGCCTCCCCCCTACAGTGGGGTAAGCCCTCTTAAGGGAGGTGCCTGCCCCCCTTAATCAGGCTAGGGGGCCTTGCCCCTCTAGTTGGCGCCTCGGGGTGCCAAATATGCGCGAAGCGCAAATTGCCACCCCCCGAGGAGCTCCTATGGGGGGTGACAAATTTAACTGTAAATTCAAAACTTTGGCTTCTTGGATACTTTACAGGTACACAGTCAAATTAAATGGTGCTACAGTACTACTTTATCTCTCCTTAAAACAAAACGCATAAAAAACAGCAAACTAATATGTTTATGTTCTTCACTCTTCAGTTTCATATTTAAAAAGAGTGATATAGCTCGTAATCTCTGTCCTCTAAGAGGTGTCTACGCTCCACCCCTCTTTACAGGCCTAGGGGGCATGGACTGTCCCCCTGCCCCCCCCCCTCGTATCGCCCAATCGTCTATAACTCATATAATTTTTTGCTATCAAACCCACCTGGGCGCAAAATTTTTTTGGCGATTCTGAAACTATAAAGAAAAAAATATTTGCACGAAATTCCGCATCATTTTTGGCAACTTGAACTCTTTTTTACTTTAATGTGTTTAATGAGTTTTGCATGGGATGCCAAAGATCTGAACCCCTACATCAAGAAATATAACAAGAACTCTCATAAAACAATGTATCCATTGTTTACATTCCTCATAGAAACTGTAGTAAACATTATTTGATCATTATAGTTCCTACTGTTCTTATATTCCTTGCCACTGATTTTAATATATATATAAGTTCTGTAAATAAATAAATTTGTGTTTAAAACCTTGGATACCTTGAAATCTCTCCCATTTTTATAAGTGATTAAATCGACAAAAATAAGTCAATGATTATGGACTGAGATATATTTATTTCGATAGACGGATACAAAATCTTAAAACTCGAGTTTATAATTTCTCATTGCTTGATATAACATAGATAGATATAGAACATGGTAAAATCTTAATATAATAACTTGTTATGTGCACAAAGCAAGTTATAAAGAAACTTAAAACATGCCTCAAACTTCTATTTTCTAAACCCTTGTCTTAGCAAATGTTTTCAACCTTTGATATTTCAAACTTTAACAACTTGATTATAGCATGGTTTAAAATATCAAAGGACTACGATATCAGGATGTAGGAAAATTTTAGCTTGATGCAAGTAATCAGTTCTTTTCGCGATATCCTTCTCCTTCCTGTCAATAAAAGATGGACAAGGGAAGTTGTAAATAATCTACATATTTTATAGAATTCAAACTTATTCAACATCAATAAATATTATGCATGAAATTAGCACAAAAATAAGGACTTATTTTTTATGTCCGAAAATTTCAAAATACATCATGTATGAGTATTTTTTCCACTCTTTAGGGCATTTGCTTTATTGATATCGGAGAGGTCTGAAAAATAAGAGATTTTTAAGAAAAGATTATAAATTATAATTAAACATGCGACTAAAAATCTTTCCCTATGAAAATTTATATACTATGATCATTATAGAATAAAGTAATAATCTTCTCTTTGTTTGTCTGTCTGTCTGTGGTTTTAATCATAACTCAGAAACCCCCTCGACCGATTTGCCTCAAATTTTGATTGTTGAAATGTAATTTGTTTGTAAAATGAATCTCTTTTCCTTGTGTGTCCCCGACCTGGCAATAAATAGCGTGGAGGCTAACATACACAGGTACACCAGGATCTCAAGCACTGAAATAATTACAATTTTTTTATTTTCTTAAAAATTATCAACAGTTTTAGAAAAATTTTAACAATGGTTTATGCATCATGGTCAGTATTGTTAATCTTTTGGTTAGTTTTTTGCATTTATTTTTCTCTCAGGGTCTAAATTTGACATAATGTAAGAATTGAAAATGTTTTTTTAAATACTAAACATTTACTTTCCTTACACTATGCCAATTTTAACCATGAAAGAAAATATATGCAAAAAAAAACCAAAAACGATCAAAAAATAGCTTGCATAGTGTTTAAATTCTAGTCGTTTTCACTAGTCCTTTTTATTTGTAAAGTTAAAAACCTGATCTCATTCATTATAATATTTCAAAGCTTAAAGGGGCCACTCTATGGTTAGAGGATAACTATATATTAAATATTTAGTCTACGCTCTACAGTTCCTTTAAATGGACTGTGGACAAATGTGTTTCATTTCCATTTGATCAATTTTTATATACTATTCTCCAAATTTTGATTCATAATCTGTAAAAATCCCCCTCTTCTTTATATGTACATGTTAAAAGCTTTTCGTCCAAATTTCAGGGGACTGTAAAATTTTCCTGTACACATTGCCTACCAGCATTCTTTACTCCTTCAAGGGACTGTGCAGTTTTCCTGTACACATTGCCTACCACCATTCTATACTCCTTCAAGGGACTGTACAGTTTTCCTGTACACATTGCCTGCCAGCAATCTATACTCCTTCAAGGTACTGTACAGTTTTCCTGTACACATTGCCTACCACCATTCTATACTCCTTCAAGGGACTGTACAGTTTTCCTGTACACATTGCCTACCATCATTCTATACTCCTTCAAGGGACTGTACAGTTTTCCTGTACACATTGCCTACCGGCATTCTTTACTCCTTCAAGGGACTGTACAGTTTTCCTGTACACATTGCCTACCGGCATTCTATACTCCTTCAAGGACTGTACAGTTTTCCTGTACACTTTGCCTACCAGCATTCTATACTCCTTCAAGGGACTGTACAGTTTTCCTGTGCGCATTGCCTACCAGCATTCTTTACTCCTTCAAAGGACTGTACAGTTTTCCTGTACACATTGCCTACTAGCATTCTATACTCCTTCAAGGGACTGTACAGTTTTCCTGTACCCATTGCCTACCATCATTCTATACTCCTTCAAGGGACTGTGCAGTTTTCCTGTACACATTGCCTACCAGCATACTCCTTCAAGGGACTGTACAGTTTTCCTGTACACATTGCCTACCAGCATTCTATACTTCAAGGTAATTATTATAATCTTTCCTATACTCTAACCCTCTTCTCGGAACCATTTATGTAAAGTTGTTTTAAATCTAATAATAAGTGGATAAATTAATTTTTTCTAATAAGAGATTTGTTGGTCCTTAACTTTATGATTTATAAATGACCTGAAATTATGGAAACCCCGGTAAATAGTCCAAGGAGTCCACCAATAGAAGCAACCTGCAGAAATATTTACATGAAAGCGTCTTTTATTAAACCTCTGCACTCTACACTACAAAGCAAAAATACTCTGAATTCTACACTACAAACCATGAATACTCTGAATTCTACACTACAAACCATAAATACTCTGCACTTTACACTACAAACCATACATACTCTGCACTCTACACTACAAACCATGAATACTCTGCACTCTTCACTACAAATCACAAAAACTTTGCACTCTACACTACAAACCATAAAAACTTTGCACTCTACACTACAAACCATAAATACTCTGCACTCTACACTACAAACCATAAATACTCTGCACTTTACACTACAAACCATAAATATTCTGCACTTTACACTACAAACCATACAAACTCTGCACACTACACTATAAACCATAAATACTCTGCACTCTACACTACAAACCATAAATAATCTGCACTCTACACTACAAACCATAAAAACTCTGCAGTCTACACTACAAACCATAAATACTCTGCACTCTACACTACAAACCATAAATACTCTACACTCTACACTACAAACCTTAAATACTCTGCACTCTACACTACAAACCATAAATATTCTGCACTCTACACTACAAACCATAAATACTCTACACTCTACACTACAAACCATAAATACTCTACACTCTACACTACAAACCATAAATACCCAACACTCTACATTAAAAACCACAAATACTCTGCACTTCACATTACAAACCATACATACGCTGCACTCTATACATTACAAACCATAAATACTCTGCACTCTACACTTCAAACCATAAATACTCTGCACTCTACACTACAAACCATAAATATTCTACACTCTACACTATAAACCATGAATACTCTGCACTCTACACTACAAACCATAAATATTCTACACTCTATACATTAAAAACCACAAATACTCTGCACTTCACATTACAAACCATAAATACGCTGCACTCTATACATTACAAACCATAAATACTCTGCACTCTACACTTCAATCCATAAATACTCTGCACTCTACACTGCAAACCATAAATACTCTGCACTCTACACTCTACATTACAAACCATAAATAGTCTACACTCTATACATTACAAACCACAAATACTCCACACTTCACATCACAAACCATAAATACTCTGCACTTCATATTGCAAACCATAAATACTCTACACTCATACATTGCAAACTATAAATACTCTGTACACTTTATAAATAACAAACTATAAATACTCTGCACTTCACATTACAAACCATAAATACTCTACACTGAACCATTTTGAAATTATGAGGACATGAAAAATTTACAGAAATAAAAAAGAATATTTTTTTAATATTTGTTTTCATTTTAATTCTAAAAAAAGATTGATAGTTGTGTTCGGCTAGTATTACAAAGATAAAACTAAAATAGTAGAAACATTTGTATATAGTCTATTCTAATTCTTTTTTGAAAATAAATTCCGATTTTAATAAGAAATATTTTACTTTATCGAAGAATGAGAGCCTGAGCTGTATATTTATCTGTGTGATGATATGAGTATCAAAACTGAAGAACATGCTCATACTGCACATCAATAAACATAAACAATTAACTATTTTGAACAAAAATTTGAGCTAAATTTTTAAAACTTAATAAGGAAATGAGTTTTTGCCGCAAACTCTAATATTTTAACCCCTATATCTTTGCAACCCAATGTCGGAGACCTTTGATATATCAAACTATGAATTCTGTTAAATCAAAAAGTCTACGCCATCACGTGGCAAAGATATTGGGATAAGACAATTTGAGTTTGTGGCAATAACTCAGTTCCTTTGAAAATAACCCTAAAATGTGCAAGGGTGTAAAAAATTCAGGACATTTTAACCCTATTCCTGCTGGGGGGGAAAAATTTTTGCATATTTGAAATGGCATGGTCAAGGGATTTTCAAAAATGTATAATTTTTCATTTTTTGGACAAATTTTTTTTTGCAAACATTTTTTACTATAAAACTGGATTTTGCAATAAAAAATTCAATTTCTGCAAATTTGCAAATTTTTTTGCAGATTCTTAAAGTAGAGCGCAAGAGCTTTCTAATGATGTATCATTTGTCATATTTGAACATAAAACATGGGATTTAGAGGGGGGTCAAATTGACCCCCCCCCCCAGCATATCCTGGTTTTCAAGTACCCCAGCAGGGATAGGGTTAACACTTATGATTTAAATAACTGAAATAAAAAATGTCCTAGAAAAACTTGAAATTTGCTTCATTTAGGAAGTTTTTGATAAATGATTGTTTAATGTTTACTGTTCAGTTTCCTGGATGAATTCGTCTTAGATTCAATTTGACGCATGGAGTAGAAGAAATGGGTCATCTCACAATCATTCCTGTATACAGGTATAGGTACAGGTACAGATACAGGTACAGGTACAGGTACAGGTACAGGTACAGGTACAGGTACAGGTACAGGTACAGGTACAGGTACAGGTACAGGTACAGGTACAGGTACAGGTACGAGTACCATTTATATATATGTGATATGGTATATGAATCAAAGTTTTAACAGATCATATTCAGCAAATACAGAACAAATCTAAAAATTAGGAGAATCCCTAAACTTTTAGGTATGCTCACATTATAATTTAATTATAATACTTATTCATTTAACGAGACATAATTCAAAATATAGTTATCACGTGACCAGAATTTCCACCAATGGTAGTGCTTCTCACAGTGTTCCTTAAGAGCAAAAAAATTTTACTTGGTATTGCGGAGCAAACTCAACTTGTTCCTGGGTCCCATGCGTTACAAGTTTCCGTCAAATCATATCACTACGTCCTGGTGAGATATTGAATTTTTTTAAAGACACGCCCTGTACAGCTGGAAACACCTTATAAATGCTTATAGTAACTTTTTTCTGTTAAAGTTATTTATATTGAACAATTGGTAATACATACAGAAAGGTCTGAGAAAAAAATTAATGGTATAACTTTAACAGAAAAAAAAGTTACTTAAGCATTTAAAGATATCTCCAGTTGTACAGGGTGTGTTTTATAAAATCCTCAATATCTCACCAGGACGGATTGATATGATTTGACGGAAACTTGTTTCCAATCACCCTCATGCATGAGAACCAGGAACAAGTTAAATTTGCTCCGCAATACCAAGTTAAACTTTTTTGCTCTGAAGTAACACTGTGATCTGGATAATTTATGTGATATTTACTTACTTGCAATCACAACGAGGGTCTTCTGGTTCATTGCTCACCTAAAATAATTTAACCAAAGTACAAAATTTCTAATTTTGTCAAAGATTCAATAATCTACATGTATCATGGTATGTCTCTAATATAATGTTCGTCTCTAATAGTTTATCTTCATTCGTGACTTCTCAATTTTTGTGTCAGTAGTATGCAACCTTGATATAATTCTTTAAATTTTGTAAATTAATGAGAGTGGAAATGAAGTTACCAAGATTTGAAAATAAAAATAAATTTTTAATAACCCTTATTTTTGAAATGTATGTCACAAAATCAACTAATTTAGCTAAAACTTTTACCTTCTCCATAGTTGTTCTCCAGCAGGCCATCTCTGATTCTCTACAGTCAGGTACACCAATCAGATTATAAGATTTAGGTGCACAGCCACACACAGATATCGTCCTAAAACCAATCACATTATAAGATTTAGGTGCACACCCACACAGAGATATCGTTCTAAACCAATCAGATTATAGGATTTAGGAACATATCCACTCACAGATATCGTCCTAAAACCAAACAGGTTAAAGGATTTAGGTGCACACCAACACACAGACATCCTCCTAAAACCAATCAGATTATAGGATTTAGGTGCACACCTACACACAGATATCGTCCTAAAACCAATCAGATTATAGGATTTAGGAACATATCCACACACAGAGTTATAGCCCTAAAACCAATCAGATTATAAGATTTAGGTGCACACCCAAACACAGATATCGTTCTAAACCAATCAGATTATAGGATTTAGGAACATATCCACTCACATATATCGTCCTAAAACCAATCAGATTATAGGATTTAGGTGCACACCCACACACAGATATAGTTCTAAACCAATCATATTATAGGATTTAGGTGCACATCCACACATAGATATCGTTCTAAAACCAATCAGATTATAGGATTTAAGTGCACACCCACACACAGATATCGTCCTAAACCAATCAGATTATAGGATTTAGGTGCACACCCATACACAGATATCGTCCTAAAACCAATCAGATTATAGGATTTAGGTGCACATCCACACATAGATATCGTCCTAAAACAAATCAGATTATAGGATTTAGGTGCACACCCATACACAGATATCGTCCTAAAACCAATCAGATTATAGGATTTAGGTGCACACCCACACACAGATATAGTTCTAAACCAATCTGATTGTAGGATTTAGGTTCACATCCACACATAGATATCGTTCTAAAACCAATCAGATTATTGGACTTAGGTGCACTCCCACACACAGATATAGTTCTAAACCAATCAGATTATAGGATTTAGGTGCACATCCACACATAGATATCGTTCTAAAACCAATCAGATTATAGGATTTAGGTGCACACCCACACACAGATATAGTTCTAAACCAATCAGATTATAGGATTTAGGTGCACACCCACACACAGATATCGTCCTAAAACAAATCAGATTATAGGATTTTGGAACATATCCACACACAGATATCGTCCTAAACCAATCAGATTATAGGATTTAGGAACATATCCACACACAGATATAGTCCTAAACCAATCAGATTATAGGATTTAGGTGCACACCCACACACAGCCATAGTCCTAAAACCAATCAGATTATAGGATTTAGGAAATTTTGTCCCAAAACCAATATTATGCCTAGTTTCTAGTACCTTAAGTTCAACCAAAGTCATACCCCGTGGTCAGAACAGGGTAGATAGATAGATACGACATTTGGTAGTATGACTAAGAAATTCACATAAAGTATGTGAAGCCCAATCTATTAGTCGTGCTTTCAAAGGTCATATCTATTTATCTACAATACTCTTTATCATAATTGCATAATGTGCCTATTTGATTGAAATTATTGTAGCACGACTAAGAAATTGGACTTGTTGGTAAAGATAATAAACCTGTTCCAGTCGCACTCTAGCCTACAGTTTGCCTGCATGTAGTAACTGAAGAACCGTAAATCTTGCTGATCAGGGAAGTAACAGACCTATCAATCAATAAATCACATCTTTAATCAAAGACGACCAGGGAAAATACAAGGTTCAGGTAAAAAAATAAATATTTACCCTAGCCCACTCATTCCACTCTTTAAAACCGGTTCCAGCCTGGAAAATATATGTAATAACTCAATTTTTAATAAAGAATAATTTTTTTTTTTTAAATTTATTTTTCATGTAAATATTATATTTTACCTTTTATTCAGACAAAACATAGTGGATTTCGAATAAAAAATAAAAAATATGTTAAAGAAAGCGTTTTATATAAGCTAAAATCTGGTAACAACTATTCTTAATTCATTAACAAACTTTAAACTAGAATATTACAAAAAAAAATTGTTTATCAAATAAACTTATTATTAGAAAATCTTTAAAATGAAACAATTAAACTTTGTTTCAAACTTTAATTACATGGATTATAAATATACAAATATACTTAATTTTCACAGTTCACCTTAATTCAATTTATTCACAAACTTTATCCAATCGTTTTTACATGGATTTTAGAATTTTGATTTTCTAATGCCATTTAAGAGTGATAGAATGATAATCCATTTTCAAATAACCTTTGATTAAAAAAAACTCTACATGGACGGGGGGGGGGGGGGGGTGGTTATTTGAGGAAAAAATGGAAAAAAATGAAATTTATATTATGAAGTAATTTCAAATATTCCCCAGATTATTTGAAAAAGTGTCATGGCGTCGAGTGAAAATCTTCCACTTGGTTTTCCTATTTACCTGGACAAAATGTAGTCCATGAATATCAAAGTCAATTTCTCCGCTTTTACCAATGTCAACATCAAAATAAACCTATTCAAAATATAAGTAATTCATTAAAAATCAGGCAAAAATTACAACAAAAATTTAAAAACCTATTTCAGAGAAATGAAGAAAAATAACCTTTGAATATGTTGTTCCAATTTCACTGATAAAAATCCTGTATAGAACTGGAACTGAGTACGGAGCAGGGTTCAGCTGCAGGACCAGACCGTTCTTCTTTCCCACTCCAGGTACCTAGATCAACTGGAGTCAGAACTTTTGTGTTTTGAATCTTGGAATCAAGAATTGATCTCCATCTCCATCCTCTACGATACCCCGTGATTATAGTCATACCTTTCAGAAATCAGAATTGATTTAAATTCAAGAATCAAGCATTTATCCTTGTATTAAAAGTGCCCACACATTGATATATAGAGATCAAGCGTTCAAGGTAGACGATACTACACAAAAATGTTCTGACCTTGGAGCGTTTAAAAGCTTAAATCCGAGTAAAATCCGGCTTTAGCATCTATTTAGACATGATTAAAGCCCAAGGCAACAATTACTTGATTTTAGTTAAAATCAATTAGATTGGTCGAGTGATTATATTCTGCTCAACCAATCAGAAGCCATAATATCTAACGTTAGACCCCCAAGCAAAAAACCGGGCTTTTCTTTTAAAATCTGAGCTCTGCAGAGATGGAAAAAAGCTTTACGATTAGATGAGATGAGAGAATACTAGATAAAACTTACTTTAGTTGGTCCCTCTAGTCTCTCAGTATCAACCAGGTTAATATCAACATTGTTAAATGTTAAACAGTATCCTAGCTCGTTTGTTACAAGCTGAAAATATACAAATAACTGTAAACTAATAACAATTACGAATATGATAATAATAACAATAAACATCCTGGATCATGTATCCTGTATCCTGTATCCGGTGTTCTGTATCCTGTATCAGCTGTCATGTATCCCATATCCTATATCCTGTCCTTTATCCTGAATCCTGTATCCTTCATCCTGTATCCTGTATCCTGTATCCTGTATCCTGTATCCTGTATCCTGTATCCTGTATCCTGTATCCTGTATCCTGTATCCTGTATCATGTATCCTGGATCTTCTATCCCGTATCCTGTGTTCTGTGTCCTGTATCTTGTAGCAGCTGTCATGTATCCCATATCCTGTATCCTGTCCTTTATCCTGTATACTTTATCCTTTATCCTGTATCCTGTATCCTGTATCCTGTATCCTGTCCTTTATCCTGTATACTTTATCCTTTATCCTGTATCCTGTCTCATGTATCCTGAATCCTGTATACTGCTGCCTTAATCTGTATCTTCTGTATCCTATATTCTTTATCCTTTATCCTTTATCCTTTATCTTGTTTTATGTATCCTGTATCCTGTATCCTGTATTCTGTATCCTGTATCCTGTATCATGTATCCTGTATCCTGTATTCTGTATCCTTTATTCTTTATTCTGTATCCTTTATCTTGTTTCATGTATCCTGTATCCTGTATCATGTATCATGTTTCCTGATTCCTGTATCCTGTATCTTTTATCTTTGTTCATGTATCTTGTATCATGTATCATGTATCCTGAATTCTGTATCCTGTAGGCTGTATTCTGTTTCCTTTATGCTGTATTCTGTATGCTTTACCCTTTATCCTGTATCCTGTATCCTGTATCCTGTATCCTGTATCCTGTATCCTGTATCCTGTATCCTGTATCTTGTATCCTGAATCATGTATCTTGAATCCTGTGTCCTAAATCCTGTGTCCTAAATCCTGTATCCTATATCCTTTATCCTGTATCCTGTATCCTGTATCCTGTATCCTGTATCCTGTATCCTGTATCCTATATCCTGTATCGTGTATCCCCTACAAATATAACCTGTATCCTATTGCAGACTGTCTTCTGATCCAACCCGTTCCGACGAAATGAACAGAAGGAAACGAAATCAGAGATATTGGATTGCTCTGAAATTAGGTTTTTCAAATATAAATATACAATTGGTTAATTGACGTAACATTATGAAAGTTTTTTTAAAGGGACAGACAGGTAAGTTAAAGGGACTGTAAGCATTATTTCAAGTGACCATTCCATGAAAAGATGACAATGCCGATTCACAACGGTACCCATTAAAGCTTTGTCTCATCATTCATGAATTAGATATCAATGTTTATAAATTTGAAAACTGATTATTTTTAACTGTGGTTTCAATACATAAGTGACTTGCACTTTTCTAATACAGAAATGCATTAAGGAATTATCAGAATTAAACACTTTAACACATAGAAAAACGACAATATTTTCCATATTATTGTTATAAAAGAAAGGTTTCCACGGTAACGTTGTGATTCGGGAATTGACATCTCTTTGTATGGAGGGTCACTTGAAATTACGCTTACAGTCCTCTTCAGTAAAATGGAAAGTATCGAAATCTTTTTTGCAGTTTTTTATATTACCTGATAACCTTGAAGCTTCATCAACATTTTCATTATAGAGAGGACAAATAGTTACTGGAGGAAACACTATACTCTCTAGTTCAAAATAATTAGAAATTTTTATCAAAGAAATTGAGTCTTTGCGCCACAAACTAAAATTTTCTAATCCCTGGTGGACCAAACTTTAATATTTCAAACTTGGATTTTTTATCAAACAAAGTCATAGTTTGATGAATCAAAGGTTGACGACAGTGGGTTGAAAATATATTTGGATTAGAAAATCAGACTCAATCCCTTTCTTAAACTTTTTAAGATTTTAAATGTTGCTAAAAACGAATATTTTTTAACAATGTACGAATTATGAGAGAATATATAGAACACTTATTTTGTATTATATAATGATATTTAAACATTATATAATGATTATTGTATATAATACATGTTATGAAACCTTTTCTTATATCACGAAGTGTACTGCATGCACTATAGTATTATTACACCAATCTGCAAATTCATCTCAAATGTTAGAAGATATATTATATATATATATATATATATAGCACAGTGCGTGGTCTATGTAAGAGAAACATTTCAAATCCTGAACTTGGACCAACAGCAAACACAAGATATCCCACTTGAGCTACTCAGGTCTCAGCTAAAATATTGAAATATATATACAGTGAGATCCATAAAATTGTGGAATAGGCAGAAATATGTTGTGTGCATTTGATGTTGTTCACAAGCAAAAGATTATACATGGAGCCTAAAAATCACGGTATTAAGTGAAATGGGCCTGTGAAGACTGAACATTGGACTGTTCATTGGACTGTTTAAATTAATAATTTGAGTCTTNAAACTATCATTCCATGAATGATACTAATTAAAAACTATCATTCCATGGATGATACTAATTATAAACTATCATTCCATGAATGATACTAATTAAAAACTATCATTCCATGGATAATACTAATCCAAACTATCATTCCATGGATGATGCTAATTAAAAACTATCATTCCATGGATGATGCTAATTAAAAACTATCATGTGGTCTACTATTTTTTGCTTTCTAAGATATCAAAATATCAAAATTGTTGGATTGATTCAAATTATTAAATAAAACCATGAAAATGTCTAATTCTGAAGGAAAATTATTCATATCTCCGGTAATAGGACTACTTACATAATCCTAGGGTTGACATAATGGATAAACTCCAAACAAGGCGGGATAGAACATGCTTGGCCCGGCTCAGATGACTTGGGGAATAACAATTATATTTCATTCAGAAGAAAAATTTTCAATTTTTTATCTACCGAATCTACCCCTCATTTAAATTTTTTATTTGTCAATTTTAAAAAGTCTGTTGACTGAATTTGAAAGAGTTGATTCCCTTTAAACCTTTTATATTGAATAACAATGAATTCCGAGATTTTCCTTCCTTGTATTTCTGCACAAATCCGCAAGTTACTTTTATAATTATCAGTTTTCAGATAGAGAGACATGAATATATCGTTAAAGGTTTAAATAATGCTGTTTTTAATGTAACTATAAATCGCTGCATGGTTATTTGAAATGACGTATACAGTTACACTCTACACTCTACACTCTACACTCTACAGTCCCCTAAATCAATGAATTTTGATTAAAAGCTCGAAATATTAAAATGTTTCCTTAATCCATGGATCGATGCTCCTTCCATATACTCCGTCACAAGATGAAGAATACTCTAAAAACAAGTTAATTTCATTCAGATTTCAATCACGTCAGACTAAAGTAAATTGCATTAACAATATAAAATATTTTATTCAATTTTGATGGAATTTATCACACCTAATATTTCCCTTTGTAGGGTGATTAAGTGACTTTAATGTAACTTTATCGACCTGCTTTTAAATAACTATGTATGTTATTGAAATGGGTATCACACTATCATGCGTGCAAAAAAGTTTTTGCTGTAATTTTTAATTTTTCTAGTTCATTTTGATCTGAAACTTTTTCGAACAGCTAGAAGTAAGATTAGTAGCGATCAAAAGCGATTTTTTATCGCATTAAGCCTATACCCCCTTTCATTTTTCGCGAACACTCCCTTTAATAATACCAATTACTATGACATAAATTGATAATATGTGTTTAATCATAATTTCTCTAATGAGATATTGAGAAGATAAAAAATGTTTTTAATTTTTATTATTTTTAAGATTTATATTTACACACAGATATAAATTAATATAAAATGGTGTAGATGCTATAAACAGTGGCGCAACTAGGGAAGGGGCGAACCGAGTTTCACCCCCCCCCCCTTCAGCATATTTCGAATCTCACTTGGCTTCAGCATGATCATGATTGCGGACCATCTTTTATCAAATTTGTCAATTCAGAAAAAATACCAACATTTTTCTTTAGCGCTTCGTGCATCATTTTTAATAGATTTTCTCGTTTTCAACTTAAAAAAAGTCAGTCATTCTTAATTTATCCTCGCAAAAAAAGGATTTTATCGGACTATTAGGACTTTTGTAGACTATAAGAGGAAAACAGGGATAAGCCCCTTACTGGCAAACAAGGACAGAGGGACTTCGATCAGAAAGACTATTATGGATTATGGACAGACAAAATTTAGACAAGCACTGCCAGGAACTACTTACTACATAGGACTGCAAAGACCTACGATTAAGGGACTATATAGTGGACAAATATGACTAGTGGATGAAATACAAAAAACTGATGAAGACAGTATAATAGGGGACTTTACATACATAGTGAATATGACTAGGCCAGGGACTAACAAACACTAAGAAATACATTAAAAGACACAAAAACTGAATTTTTTTGGCGCTTCACGCACATGTTTGATTAATTTACTCATGTCGTTCATTTTAAAGCTGTTGGAAGTATATTTTTTTAACACAGGAACAAGCCATGGATATTTTGAAATATTATTGAGCACAGAGGCAACCCTTCAACAATTAAAAAATGCTGTTTTTTACTTCAAATTCTAATAACAGCGGGGTTAAAAAAATAATAATTAGCCTCCCTTTATCGCCCACCCCAGCCCCTCAAAATAAAATTTCGGCCCCGCCCATACTAATTATAAACTATCATTCCATGGATGATACTAATTAAAAACTATCATTCCATTGATGAGTTAACTAAGAACTATCCCTCAAAAAAGGCCGAACAATGTGGACTAAAAAACTAAATTAGACAAATTAGACAAATTCATTTCAAATAGTTTTTAGTCATTCGACAAATTTAAAAATATTAAAACCTGCCAAAAAATAATCATTTATAAAATCAATAAAAATTTTAAAGTCAAAACGAGGTTTAAAATGATTAATAATTGGTTCAAAAGGGCCTAATTTACGCTTTTTTAGTTAATTTATTGTTACACCTACAATGCATTATCTTTTTTGATCTGAAAAGAACGATATTGTTTTAAGGTTTGCATGCAAGGAGATTTATTATGGATGCAAGCGTGTGTTTTAATTTTAGGAATGATTTTTTATTCGTTTTTCAGGTTTTTCTTCTTTTTTTAAGTAGTACTTTAAAAATTTTATGAGGTGAATATCGTCAATATTCTAAATATATTTATAAAAACATCGTAAATATAAGTTGATCGTAACGTATTATTAATTAAATGTAATTAAAACTAACCAATAGGAATCTGAGCTACAGATGTCAAGATTGGATTGTCTTGCCAAGCCTAGATCAAAAATGTCAAAAATTAATTATGTTCCATCGAAAAAAATATACAAAATGGGCTTACTTTTTGATTTAGTTGCCACAAACTCATGTGTTCTAATCCCTATATCTTTGCTACCCGATGGCGTAGACCTTCGATATTTCAAACTCAGATTCATTGATTTTACAGAATTCATAATTTGAAATATCTAAGGTATACGACATTGAGTTGCATAGATAAAGCGATTAGAATATCAGATTTTGGGTTTAAGACTCAATTTCTTTGAATACACACCTGGTAGCAGTAGTAGACCATATAGAAAGCTAAAAATGATTAGAAAAAATGTTATTCATGCACAATATCAATTTTAAAGTAACAATTTACTTTATCAATTAAAACTTTCAGATCAATATAGAATTAATCAAAATCTATCAATAAATGAATAAAATTCATAAATAAAACATCAGTCTATGGTTAGTATTAATTAAAAACTATCATTCCATGAATGATACTAATTATAAACTATCATTCCATGGATGATACTAATTATAAACTATCATTCCATGGATGATACTAATTATAAACTATCATTCCATGGATGATACTAATTAAAAACTATCATTCCATGATTGATACTAATTATAAACTATCATTCCATGAATGATACTAATTATAAACTATCATTCCATGGATGATACTAATTATAAACTATCATTCCATGGATGATACTAATTAAAAACTATCATTCCATGGATGATACTAATTAAAAACTATCATTCCATG